CTGCATCTAGCTTTGACCTGGAGAGGGGCTGGGTCCTCTTCTGTGATTCTGATTTTGCCATAAGAGAAGGGCCATCGTCTTGGCAAGGGTGGGGGGATGACGACGTCTGCTTAGAGGCTAAAGAGAAAGCAAAGATTCTCAATTCCTTTCCAGGAACGGTTGTCATGTATCTCAGAGACAGAGGTGAAACCTGTCCAGTGGTGGGGTGTTTATTTCACCGAGGTCATTTTCAGCTCCACAGCAAGGGGATCATTTTTTTAAAAAGTTAAATTCAATTAATTAACATATACTGTATTATTAGTTTCAGAGGTAGAGTTCTGTGATTCATCAGTAGCAAGGGGGGAATCATTGATGGCTCTGGCCAGTGGAGTGAGGGGCCTTCTAGCTAAGGAGTCTCCCATTCATCTGGTGATAGAGCGGTTTTCTGCCTGGGCTGGAGGCCAAGGACCCCCTCCCCCTCCATGTCGATTCCTCCATGGTGGGTGGGAGAAGTGATAAGGTGTAGTTGTAGCCCAGCTGCAGAGGGTCCTGGTGGGGACTGCTGGGAGCAGTTTTATCGGAAACCACAGAACCCCAAAGCAAGCTGAGAGAGCTGAAGTCAGCTTTATCAAGGAGCGCCAGAGACGCAGAAGGCCCGCCGGAGGAAATGGCTAGAATAGAGGCTGTCAACGGAGCCTGCTCAGCTGCCCTTGACTTCTCTATGAAGCAAAGTGCATGGGAGGGCCGGTTGGGTTCTGAGGGCTCAGAGGGTAGCAGACACAGTCATTGATTCTGTGATTTTTTTTTTTTTCCTGAAGGCAGTTACATAGCTAGATCTGAAAGCAGCTCCAGAGGGTTTCAGAAATGCCTTACACCCAGACTGCAGCATTTGAATAGTGCCCCCCACCCACTTTTTAGTAATCTCTATACTCTACATGGGCTCAAACTGAAGACCATGAGATCAAGATTCACGTGCTCTACTGACTGATCGCCCCAGCCAGGCACCCCAGAATAAGTGACTTTTAAAGATTAATTTCTAGAGAATAACTTTTATCTAGATGGTCACATTTAAAAAATTATCAGCTTCATGGGGCGCCTGGGTGGCTCAGTGGGTTAAAGCCTCTGCCTTCAGCTCCGGTCATGATCCCAGGGTCCTGGGATCGAGCCCCGCATCAGGCTCTCTGCTCAGCAGGGAGTGTGCTCCCCTGCCCTGCGCCCCCGCCTGCCTGTCTGCCTACTTGTGATCTCTGTCCGTCAAAAAAAAAAAAAATTATCAGCTTCAGTAAGAAGGTTTTGCAAAGTCGTTTGCATTTCTGCTTATGGGTGACAACTAAAAAATAGTGGCAATAGGTGTATGTTTAATATTTGGGAAATGAAAGAAAACTATTAAAATAAAGATTTTAATTCTCCATAAGAAAAATAAAACTTGAGGGGCGCCTGGGTGGCTCAGTGGGTTAAGGCCTCTGCTTCCGGCTCAGGTCATGATCTCAGGGTCCTGGGATCGAGCCCCACATCGGGCTCTCTGCACAGCGGGGAGCCTGCTTCCCCCTCTCTCTCTGCCTGCCTCTCTGCCTACTGTGATCTCTCTCTCTGTTACATAAAGAAATTTTTAAAAAAATCTTAAAAAAAAAAAAAAGAAAACTTGAATAAATGGAGAGAGTGTTTCTGTTTCGGAATCAGAAGATTAATGTAGTTAAGATGACATAATATCTGATCTAATTTATGGAGTTAATACAAATTAGATTCTCAATATGATATTTGTATGGAAATTGACAAAACCTTAATAAAATTTCTATAGAGAAAATAACAGGTAAGCACACTAAAGAGTTTTTGGAAAAGGAGTAAGCCAATGATGTGATAAATTATTCCGTTAATATTTAAAATATGGCACAAAGGAGATTTAAGTTATATTAGATTTAAAGCAGAACTATAGATTGATAAAATCCCAATAGAGATTCCAAGAGTTCTAAGTTAGTTACAAGATTAACACAAAATAGTCCAGAATTACAGAATAATAAGAGAGGAATCCTATTTAATAGGATTATTATTGAGAGGCACCTGGATGGCTCAGTCTGTCTGTTAAATGTCTGATTCTTGATTTTGGTTCAGGTCATGATCTTAGGGTTTTGAGATCAAGCCCTGAATGGGGCTCTGTGCTGGGCATGGCACCTGCTTAAGATTTTCTCTCTCCTTCTCCCTCTGTCACTTCCTTCCTCCCTCCCTCTTTAAAAAAAAAAAAATAGGATTATTATTGAGAAAAGTTGATGTAAAGCATTTCTCTCCCTTTCTGACACAATTTGTCATAATAAGCTCTAGATGTTTTAAAGAATTATAGTTTAAGATATCTCTTTTACAAGTGAAACAAAATGGTTTACTTTAGTGTTTCTACTACAGTGGAGGAATTAAGACCTCAAGTATTAAAATTATGAAAGAGAGGAGCACCTGGGTGGCTCAGTTGTTAAGCATCTGCCTTCAGCTTGGGTCATGATCACAGGGTCCTGTGGTCAAGTCCTGCGTCGGGCTCCCTGCTCAGTGGGAAACCTGCTTCTCCCTCTCCCACTCCCCCTGCTTGTGTTAGGGAACACTCTCTGTCTCTCTCTCTCCCTGTCAAATAAATAAATAAAAATTCTTTAAAAAATGATTAAGACTACGAAAGAAAATTGGAAGGGTCTGATCACATAAAAATTTAGCAACAGCAACCTTAATTAAAGTTCTTGGTAAAAAAGGCAAAAATTCAAAAGTATTTGAAATAAGCTGGTAAAAATTTTTAAAAGTATAAAGAGAAGTTCTAAATCTGTAGGTCAGTAACCCTTCTCTGCTACAGACAGTTAAAAAAATAGGAACAAATAGTAAGGAAGTAAGGGAAGTAAGGAAAGGAACTATAAACATCAAGCCAACATTTGGTAATATGTCCGTCTTTTTAATAAATTTATTGTAAATTAAAAGTACAAGTCTATTTTATACCTACTGAACTAGCAAAGGTGATAAAACTCCTTGTTAATGTGCCGGCAGGAAATAGACACACTCGCAGATTGTTGGTGTGTTTCCTGGAGAGCAGTAGATCCACGTGAAACAAGCTGACAAGAAAATTATTGTGTCCTTTGAGGCAATAGTCCCAAAGGAATAAATCCCAGGAGGATATTGTAGAAGATGGGAGGTTATTTGTACAAAGGTAATTGTAGCCATGCTATTTATATAGTGAAAACCAGCCATTCTTAACCACCTGATAATTTGATGGTGGTTGTACAAACTAGAAAATATTAATATCCATCATATTAATAACTATTAAAACCATAAAGCTGAGGACTTCGGCTATAATTGTGGGTAGTGTATGTAAGTCAAAAACTGGAGCGATTTTGTTATGTGGACACTGATAACTGCCCAATTACTTTTGTCTAATGAAAACAATATTACCATCAGGGTTTCTCAATGATCTAAGGACCTTAATGTCATTAAGTCATTTGGGGATGTTGTTGAAAGGGAGATTTTGATTCAGTATAACTAGGGTGGAGCCTGAAACTCTGGATTTCGGACAAGCTCTGTGGCCATGGTGATACTACTGGTTCTCCCACTACACTTTGAACACTGAAGACCTAGGTCTCTGCCATTGGGATGGTAGTCACTAGTTCCTGGTATGGAAGTTTAAATTAATTAAAATAAGGTAAAATGGAAAATTTTGTTCTGAAGTCTTGCTAGCTGTGTTTCAAGTACTTGGTAGCCATATTTGGAGAGCTCAGATTACAGAACAATTCCATGATCATAGAGTGTGCTGTCCTGGACAGTGTGGACCTAGGCTGTCGCTGTCTTAAAGTGCAGGGATTTCTATTTCTTTTTCTGTAGAGTTGTTTTGAAACATGCGACTAAGAGCTTGTCCCATTTCTTTGTAGTCGCAGATCATATAAGTATACATTGGTATATAAGACATAGGAGAAATAAAGCAATGGATAATTTTGTATCATTAAAACATTTGATAAGTAGGGGCGCCTGGGTGGCTCCGTTGGTTAAGCGACTGCCTTCAGCTCAGGTCACAATCCTGGAGTCCCAGGATCGAGTCCCACATTGGGCTCACTGCTCAGTAGGGAGTCTGCTCTCTGACCCTTCCCCCTCTCATGCTGTCTCTCTCTCTCTGTTAAACAAACAAACAAACAAATAAAATCTTTAAAAGGTCTGCCTTGAGCTCAGGTCATGATACCAGGGGTCTGGGATCAAGCCCCGCATTGGGCTTCTTGTTCACTGGGGAGTCTGTTTCTCCTTCTCCCTCTCTCCACCCTCCCCATTCATGCTCTCACTCTCTCAAATAAATAAAATCTTAAAAAACTGATAAATGGAATCTCTTTTCTCATTCACTTTTATTGTTAGTCCATACACGTATTTTTTTTTAAGATTCTATTTTTAAGTAATCTCTGCAGCCAACATGGGACTCAGACTCACAGCCCTGAGATCAAGAGTCATATGCCCTATGGACTGAACCAGCCCAGGTGCCCCAAGTCCATACATGTATTCCCTAATTCTTCTTTGTCCCTCAGTTGGCAGTCATTTCCAATAAATTGATTTTAGTTTCTTTGTCAATTTTTCCCCCTAATAATGCATATTAGAGGAGATACTGTTTAAAGAAGCATTGCAGCAATTTGAAATACAGATGTGTATAATTTGTGGAAAAAATACAGTGCTGGGGAACCTGAGTGGCTCATTCAGTTGAGCGTCTGACTCTTGGTTTTTACTCAGGTTGTGATCTTGGGGTTGTGGGATTGAGCCCCCATGTCCTCCTCCCTGAGTGTGTACACACACACACACACACACACACACACTCTTTCTCTCTCTCTCAAACAAATAAATAAAATCTTTTAAAAATACATCCCCTGTACCCCCACTGTTTCATCAATTTATATTTTTAAAATGTATTCTCTAAGCAGGATTAGTTACCAAAGGATGTGGGCACTGATAGCTGAGAGTTCCCTGGATGATTTGGTTTTCTTTACTTCTGTGTCTTGGAAACACTGACGATTGTTGTTTTCTTCCAGGAATTTGTGCAAATATTCTCACAATGTTCTCTCAGAAGAGAACTTCAAGGTCTTGAAAAACCATGAGCTCTCTGGACTGAACAAAGAGGAATTAGCTGTGCTCCTCCTCCAAAGTGACCCATTTTTTATGCCTGAGGTAAGTTACAATTCCTTAGTTGAAGCAGCAAGGAGGGTATGATCAGTCGTGTTGTGTCATGGTTGTGTTGGAATAGGAACACAAAGGACTCAAAGTTACCACCAGGCTCTGCAGAGAGCAGTCAACAGGTGACTGTTGCTCAGTGACCTAAAGATTCCAGCAATTTCCTTCCTATTTGAAGTGACCTGAAGATACAGGAATAGAACTAGGGGATGCTGTCCATCTAGGTGGCTTCCTGGAAGGAGATGGTCTTTGAATTGAGGTTTTGGAAGATAATAAGGATATATTGGTTGAGGATTATAGGCAAAGCTGTTGCACCAATGAAACCCCAAAATGGAGTGATTCAAATAAAATGTCATTTTATTTCTCTGTCGCTTGACAATATAGATCCAAGTTCATCCAACTATGGCCTAGGGCCAAATTTGGCCTGCCACCTGGTTTTTGAATGAGGTTTTATTGGAACCCAGCCACACTCATTCATCTGCATATTGTCCATACATATTTTCTTAACACAAGAGTAAGCTGAGTAGTTTCACGGTCCTGACTCTCTGTGATCTGGCACAAAGCAGGGATTCCTTCTGGGTCTCAACGTCATTTGTGGTTGTGCATTCGTTCGACTGACATTTAGGAGCTTGCAAATGGTGGGCACTGAATTAAATGTTGGAGGCAGCAGTGGACAAGACCTCTGAGAGTTCACACTTCCTCGCTTTGCCTTGCCTTGTGAGAACATAAAAGCATCCGGCAAACCTGACTTCCTGGTTTATAAGCTTGTAAAATGTAAATGTGCTTATTAAATGTAGAAATGCTGTCATTGGTCCTGCCCTAATCAAGGCCAGGAGCATTCTTACCTACTCATTAGATCCATCCTAGGATCGTTAACCAAAGTGTCATTTGTGAAGTTGCTAATCGTTCTTTTTCTGCCAGAGCCTTGAGTACACTGGTTCTCAAACTTTAGTGAGCCTTGGAATCACCTGGTTTGTTACACCAGAGTGCTGAACCCCACCTCTGGTGGTCCTGACTGTAGACGTGGGGACGGGTCTGGGGATTTGCATTTCCGATAAGTTTCCAGGGACCCCACTTAGAATCCTGCTGGTCTAGAGTCTAAAATCTGAATACTAGGCTTGAGAGCAGTGATAGCTACTTGAATCAAGTTTTCGAAGTTGTCTGTGTACTTAAATTGTTGTTGCTAGAGTCTGAAGGTACTTGCCTTCCAGATAGATCGCAGAGAAACAGGCGGACCCGGTCGGTTCTGTCTGTTGAAACAGTTTATAAATGTTCTGATCTTTGGGATTCTTTTATGTAACGATTCAAACATGGGTAGTGCATTTTATATTTTAGACATTTACATATTTTATTATGTAATCCACTCAATACCTTGGGTTAGGGGGACAGAGCAAATATTTTGCTCCTTCACAGCAAAGGAGACAGAGGCAGGGGGAGTAGGTAGTTCAGGTGACGTCACAGAGCTGGGTCCAGGGCTGGGGCTGTGGACTTTGAAATCCGCTGCTTCTCGTCCTGTGTCGTACGGTCCAGCTTCCACAACAGTACCTCAGTGAGAAATACGTATGCCCTCTTTTCAGTAAGAACTACATGTCTGCAGGGCTATTTACATAGAAATAGAAAAATTACCTTCTTTAGTTGGGTTCTTTTGAGAACCCTGTCACGTTCTGCCTCGCAGAGACAACAGCTGCAAGGAAGACCTGCATGTCCTTTTTTTTTTTTCTAAAGATTTTTATTTTTAAGTAATCTCCACACCCAATGTGGGGCTCGAACTCACAACCCTGAGATCAAGAGTCACATGCTCCACCATCTGAGATAGCCAGGTCTCCCCCTCAATTGCAGAATGACTTGATAACCTTCCTCTTTGGGGTTCCTTTGTAATGTAGGGCTCCTTTTGGAGCCTCCTTGTTTGGTCCTCTCTGCAGCTGGCCATGGCCATCTTACTTTGATTCTTCCAAAGGGTGATTAAATTCATGGCTCGTTTAGCTAGCTGGCAGTCCTCTTCTACCCCAAATTAATTATTGGTTGAATACAACTAATCTTAGGAGTGTGAAAGACCCCATGTATTTTTTTCCTTCAGTGTATCTCTACTTACCGCCAACATTTTTGTTGACTTGGGCTTTCCTTAATGACTGTGGCAGAGGCGGGAAGGGGTTAATGTCCCTGGCTATTGTCTGTTTCTTTCTCTGCAGATATGCAAAAATTACAAGGGAGAGGGTCGAAAAGTGATTTGCGACAAGTATCCACAGTGTGAAAGGCTCCACGTCTGCGAGCACTTTACCCGAGGGAACTGTGGCTACACCAACTGCCTCAGGTCCCATAACCTGATGGACAGAAGGGTGCTGGCCATCATGAGGGAGCACGGGCTCAGCTCCAGCGTGGTCCAGAACATCCAGGACATCTGCAACAGCAAACACAGCCCAAAGAAACACGCCGGGCACAGAGGTAACTGCTTCCCACATTTCCGTTAACAGAGGAAACAGAAACAAACCGAAATCACAAGGGAAGTGTGACTTTGCCTATAATCATTCTACCTCCCCACGTGAGACTGTTGTTGCTTTCAGACCTTGTTTGAGTGTATGCATACTTTTACTGCATTATAATCATAGCATATATGCAATTCTGCAACTTGATTTGCATGCTAAGCATTCTCCACCCCCCAATTTTTAAAATGTTTATCATTTTTCTTTTCTTTTCTTTTTTTTAAGAGATTTTATTTGTTTGTTTGTCAGAGAGAGAGAAAGCACAAGTCGGTGGAGTGGCAGGCAGAGGGAGAAGGAGAAGCAGGCTCCCTGCTGAGCAGGGAACCCAATGCGGGACTCCATCCCAGGATCCTGTGATCGTGACCCAAGTCAAAGGCAGCCACTTAACGGGCTGAGCCACCCAGGGGTCCCTATTGTTTTCCAAAAGCTTCCCCCCCCCCAGCTATTATCATTTTGTCCCAGTAGCGTTTTGTCGCCATTGTTTTGTCACTTTCTCTCAATCTTTGTGCACATGTCAACATTGACACGCACACACATAACATTTTTGTGGGTAGAGCGTTTGAGTATGCTGCTTTCAGGAGCCATCACACCTGTACACCTGTGTATATAAGCACGCACTTCCTTAAAACAGAGCCACTCTCTTCCATAACCACAGTACAATTAATACAGAAAGTCTAGCATTAATGCAAAGCAAACACAATTTAATTCACAGTCCTTAATAGTATTTCTTTAAAAATATATTTATTTTTACCTTTTAAGTTGTGGTAAAAGATAACATAAACTTGACCCCTTTAAGCATTTTTAAGTGTACATCATGGTATTATGTTCACACTGTTGTTGGCCATCGCCACATTGATCCCTGGAACTTTTCCATCTTCCGGAACTGAAACTCTGTACACAGTAAACAATAACCCCATTCCTTCCTGTGCCTGCATCTAGCAACGTGCCATTCTGTTTTCCGTCTCTATGAATTTGACCTCTCCAGAATCTTCATCGAAGGGGAGTTATATAGGATATATACTTTGTGATGGGCTTATTTCATTTCCATAATGTCTTCGAGGTTCATCCAACCCATGTTATAGCATGTCCTTCCTTTTCAAAAAAAGGAATATATATATATAAATTATATATAATTTAAGAATTGCAGTAAAAATATACCTAGCAAAATTTACCATATGAACCATTTTTTTAAGAAAAAGATTTAATTTATTTATTTGATAGAGACAGACACAGCAAGAGAGGGAACACCAGCGGGGGGGCAGGGAGGGGCAGGCTTCCCACTGAGCAGGGCACAGGATGCGGGGCTCAATCCCAGGACCCTGAGCCAAAGGCAGGGTCCTTTAATGACTGAGCCACCCAGGTGCCCCCCATCTGAACCATTTTTTTTAAAGATAAAAATGTTTATTGGACAGCATTATATAAAAATAAAAAATTATAAATTCTATCTTTTTGCTGTAAGTGATATCATACAAGAGTGAATACAACATATGTTTCAAAGAACAGGAAATGTATGAACCATTTTTAAGTGTTCCGCAGCATTAAGTACGCTCACATTGCTTTGCAGCCAATCTCTAAAACTCCCTTCATCTTACAGAACTGAAACTGCATACCTGAGAAACAACACCTCCTTCCTTCTCTGCCCAGCCCCTGGCAACCACCATTCTGCTTTCTGTTTCCATGAATATGACTACTCTAGGGACCAAATAGAAAGAGAAATGTATGTGATTTGTCTTTTTGAGACACTGGCTTATTTTGCTTTGTGTAACACTCCACACTGTATGTATATGCCCCATTTTGTTTGTCCCTTTGTCCCTGGTTGGATACTTGAGTTCCTTCTATCTTTCGCTGTTGTGAGTAATACTGCTGGGAACATGGGCCTACAAATACCTGCTAGAGGCCTTGCTTTCAATTCTCTTGGGTCTGTGCCCGGAAGTGGAGCTGTTAGGTCATGTGGTCATGCTTGGTTTAATTTTTTGAGGAACTGTCATCCCATTTTCACAGCAGCTCCGCCATTTTGTATTCCCACCATCACCGCACAAGGGTTCCATTTTCTCCACCTCTTCATCAGTACGTGTTATTTTCGGTTTTTAGGATAACAGTCATCTTAATGGGTGTGAAGTGATCAGTTCCATTTCGTGATCATTTTCACATTGTTCAGTGATATTAACCCTTGCAATTTTTTGAGCCTTTCTGAAATGGATGTGAAAGAGGTGAATTTTATAAAGCAAATAGAATACATAATTCTTAGATTCTAGGATACGTAATAAATAATTACACCTCCTTATATTTGAGACAGGCTTTATTATGAACCAGGGATTTTTCACCCAAAATATCTCATCATTGTTCCTGACAGCAAAGCTGTGAAGAAAGGAAGGTGTGTTATTAACCTCATTTAGTTGATAAGGAGACCAAGGCTCAGAAATTATTTATTTATTTATAAGATTTTATTTATTTCTTTAGAGCAAGACAGCATGAGTGGGAGGGGCAGAGAGAGAGAGAATCTCAAGCAGATTCCATGCTGAGTGTGGAGACCGATGCGGGGCTTGATCCCAGGACCCTGAGGTCATGACCTGAGCTGAAATCAAGAGTTGGATGTGTACTGACTGTACAACACCCAGGCACCCTGAGTCTCAGAAATTTTAAATGACTTTTATCACAAGCAGTCTTAAATCGTTTTTCACTGTGAATAAATAAGGATATTTCCAAGGTTTCACAGCAGCGCTTCTGTGTTCTGGTCCCCTCTCTGGTGTTTTTTCTCCCACATCGCAATGCCCTCTGAACAGGGGAACCCCTCCAGGGTGTTTTCTGGAATAGTTTCCCAATATAAATACATTGTATGTGAGAGAGATCTTTATTATCCCTCCTGGTTAATTTACTTAATTAACTATTTTGATGGCAGGAGAAGGATGTTTGCTTTCACTCTATTACTGCTGCTCTCTGAGTTTGAAGGAGAAAAGTCCCTCTTCCCCCCACTTCCCCACACACAATATCACGGCTCATATACCACACATAGGTACACACAACACACATACCGCACATATACACACATACCCCACGCTTGTACATGCCACACAGAAACACACATGCATTCACACCATGCACACACACCTCACACCTCACACACCACACACGCACATCTTACTGACAGACACATCTCACACACCAACAATGTATCACACACGTGTATCTCTCTCTTTCCCATATACAATGGCCCTCACACATGTACACCACACATATGTCTTATACACATATACCCCTCACATGTGCACGCACACCCAGCATGATACACACCACACATAAATGTCACACATGCACACACACACACCTACCTCCCCCACACACTTTTCACACAGACTCACAAACACGCATGCTCCCTCATTCCCTCCTCTTCCCAGGGAGAGTGACTCATGCGATTTCTTGAGAGAGGCTAATTCTTTTTGATGTTTCTCAGTTAAGCTTGGGCATTTGGCGATGAGACGGACTCTGGAAAAACTACCAGATTAAATGGAGTCAGACCTTAACACGGTGGATTGATTGATTGATTGGTTGATTGATGAATCTTTAATTTGTTTGGGAACCTTTGTCACAACATGGGCAAAATCTTAATGACTTGGAGAGTCCCCCCTGACTCACACTCGCGTGTGTCTCCCTTCGTCAGAGCAATGAAAGTTGACTTTGAACCAGAGCACAGTAGACAGCCCTACCTAAGAGTCTGGGGGCTGGGGGGTTACATCTTAGGCCCTGGAGAGAAGTCGAGAAGATCCAGGGTCACTCTGAGTCTCAACCTAGGCCATGGGGGTGGTGTTTCCTGCCCTTCCAGCAGAACAACAGATTTCTTCGTCATCTTGAACACCCTTCTCAAGGTGCGGTCACTCTAGATGGGGACACTAATTTGACAGAACTCAGATAGCAAACTTGGAGAAGCTGAGGAGGAGCCGTGGTGAGAACCCACACCTGATTGTGCTCATTTTCCTGGTTTCGTCTTTCTTTCCCCAGGTCCTCCGGCCTACCGCAGAGACCCGGCCTCCCGGGGGAGAAGCAAGAGCAGAGACCGGTCCTTTCATGGCAGCATGGAATTTCTTCCATCGGCTTCAGCCTCTACTCAGAAGTCCTGCACGGCTGCTGCAGATCAGATCGGCCACAGGCTTCCCCAGGAGGACGTGTCTGTAGAGGACCTGGCCCACAAGTTCGTGCATCTGGGAAGTCAGGATGGCCCTCAGCCTTCCCCTGTCCCGCCTCAGACGGATCATGTCAGAGGAAGAGGTCAAGTGGGAGGAAGCCAGCGGTTTTCGGAAAATGGCCGCCCAAAGGATCTGTTTTATGGGAATCAAGGTAGCGTTTACCTCCCTTCCGATTCAAAGCCTGCTTCCAGCCGGAAGGGCCCTGCATCGTGGCTGAATGGCAAAGGCACCGGGAGAGAGAGTTTGTTTTCCCAGAGCCAGGCTGCCCCTGGCTCTCCTCCCGATCCCACGAAGGCCAGGAAGAACACAGGCCTGCTCTCCTCTGACAGTGTGAGCGCCGAGGGCAGAAGCGGGAAGCAGAATGTCCAGTATGGCCCGCTTTTTAGTAATAATGTTGATGGAACTGCCGCAGATACAACTTCCACAAGATCTTTCAGTTACAAAACTGCAACCAGTGGACAGAGGGAAAAATCGCTACCTAGGAATCGGGACGCCGGAACCACTCATGGTAATGTCCAGACCACTGGCAAAGTTGCAGGTGGTGACGACCCTGCCGTGGCATCTGTGAATGGTCAATGCAAAGAGAAGACAGTGTGGGCTAATCACTCTGTCCACGGCACACCAAATGACTCCAGTCAAGTTGTGGACGAAACCTCCAGAGTCAGTAAAACCGGGGCCACTGGTTTTGACTTCACATTGCCATTCAGAGGGGATAAAAATGCGCCGTGCTTTGGAAGTCAGAATCTGGAAGGCCAGGTCATGCCGACACCTTGGGAGACCACTGTCCCCACACCACAAGTCCGTACTCCGTCCAAGGTGCCATCCTCTACATCCTCCTCAAGTGACAGAAGCGCAGCGTATGCAAGTCATGGTCAGAACTCTGCCCCCGTCTTGGTTAGCCCTGCCAGTGACCTTGCGAGGACCCCGAGGTGTGCTCCATGTAAGTCACCAAAGGACAACGGGGGGCGCCATGTCTTGTGTCGGCAGCAGAGTGGTTATGGCTGGTGGCCTCTCTGGGGACGTTCCCCAGTAGTTACTAAAGGGCACAGAGTTAGAGGGTTTGGTTAAGGGGTGGTCCTCTTGAGGAGGCTGATGTGAAGACTCAAGTACCAACAGTTGCATCATGTGGGGTAAGCCGCCATGTTTCCTGAGGACGGGAGTAGTTGGGTCATGGGTTAAACAGTAAGCATACCTCTCACATGACCCAAACATTCATGTTTGCTTTTATGGAGGGGCTGTCTAGGCTCTCATGAGCAACACACGAATCTGGAATTTTCTTGAACTTGGCGCCTGTTACATATACTTTCTCCCGTTGTGAGATCAGGTATCTTGATTTTTGGTCTAAGCACTGTGATTGGCATCCGCACATCATCTTTTTTTCACAGATTTTGCATCGGACGTTGAGAGCACCAGCTCTTCCAGGATGGCTGATTGTGGCTCAAAGGAAATTTGTCTTGACCATCTGTGTAGGGGCTGTCAAGTTGGTGAGTAACTTAAGGGCTTTCTAGAAGCCGACATGTACTGAGCATTTGCTGTATATTAGGTGCATTGCCAAGAAACTTAAGTGCATTGTCTTTAAACTTCTCAACAACCCTAGAAGCAGGTTCTGTTGTTAACCCATTTCACAGATGTGGAAAGTAGAGGCACTGAGAGGTTAGAGTAGCCAAGTTGGGTTTTGACTCTAAATTGCCCAGCCAGCCTGTGTTCTGGATCGCTGCGTGATATTAAACTTTTGGGATTCACGTTTCGGTGAATATTATACTTCGTCAGGGACCCTCTTTTCATATGCTAAAGGCAAACAAACAAGAAAACAAATCCAAAAAAATTAAAGCGTCCCAGCTGACACACTTCCACAGTTCACGTCCTGTCCCTTAGGCATCGTGTCTGTTCTGGGCCATGGCCTCTCTGTGGCCATTTCTCACACATGTACTGAGAGTCCTGCATGCCACAGTCTGGGAGCCACACTTGTTCACTGTCCCCTCCCACCAGGCTTCCTACAGAGCTGTGTCCCGTGGAACTGTGTCTGGGACAGATGGCAGCCCTTGTAGCCTAAGACCTCCTGCTCACTTTCACGCCTCTGTCCCGGGCCCCGGCATCCCACTGGAGCTCCTCTGTTGGACCCCTTAGTGGTCTTAGACTCAACACCTGGTGTCAGAAAAGGAAGATTCTGGCCTGGTGTTCTTGAAATCCTAAGTCTTTAACTTAAGTGCTTTTTTTCCTTTTTAATTGTGGTAAAATATACTTAACATAGATTTTACTATCTTAATCATTTTTTTAAAAGGTTTTATTTATTTATTTGAGAAAGAGAGAGAGAGAGCACGTGTGCCCGGGAGTAGGGGGAGGGCAGAGGAAGAGGGAGAAGCAGGGTCCCCACTGGGCAGGGAGCCCGAGGCAGGACTCCATTGCAGGACTCTAAGATCATGACCCGAGCTGAAGGCAGACGCCTAACCGACTGAGCCACCCAGGAGCCCCATCCTAACCAGTTTTAAGTGTATAGGTCAGTAGGGTTAGAGTCACTTTATTGTTCAACCCACTTCCAGAACTCTTTTTTTATCTTGCAGAACTAAAACTCTACTGCCCTTTGAGCAGCAGCTCTTTATTCCCCCGTCTTCAGTCCCTGGCAGCTGCCATTCTAATTTTTGTTTCTCTGAGGAGGACGACTAGAGGTCCCTCATGAGGGGTTACAGAGGATTTGTCTCTGTGATGCTGCCCTCTGTCACTTTGTGTCACATCCTCAGGTTTCATCCATGGGAAAGAGAATTTCCTGTGTGAGAATTACCTTTTCCTTTTTAAGGCTGAATCATATTTTATTGTGCGTATTTGCCACATTTTGTTTATCCAATTGTCTGTGATGGATATTTGAGTTGCTTACCCTCTGGCTGTTGTGAATAATGCTGCTAACGGCTTGGGTGTGTGAGATCTGCTCAGGACCTTGCTTTCACTTCTTTTGGGATATACACCCAGAAGTGGAATTGCTGGATATCATGGTAATTCGGTGTTTATCCAAAACATTTGTTTTGGGGGTCGCCTGGTTGGCTCAATTGGTTAAGCATCTGCCATCAGCTCAGGTCATGATCCCGGAGTCCCAGGATTGAGCCCCGCATTGGGCTCCCCGCTCAGCAGGGCGTCTGCTTCTCTCTCTGCCTATTGCTCACCCTGATTGTGCTCTTTCTTTCTCTCTCTCCAACAAATAAATTTAAAAAAAAAATCTTAAAAAAAAAAACCAATTTGTTTTGATGATTGCATGTTTAATGTTTCAAGAAGCTGCCACACCATTTTCCATAGCGGCTACACCTTTTTACATTTTCTGTAGCGGTGCGCAAGGGTTCAAGTTTCTCCGTCTCCTTGCCAACATATGCTTTTGTTGCTTTGGTTTTAGAGCCGCCATTGGAATGGGCGTGAGATGTGGACTGTCCTGAATGGTTCTATAGTTTTCAGTGTGCCTCTTCTGGTTTTATTTTATTTCACTTTTAAGGCTTTATTTATTTATTTGAGAGATAGAGAGAGATTGAGCATGAGTGGAAGGGGTAGAGGGAGAAGGAGAGAGAATCTCAAGCAGACTCCGTGCCAAGCGCAGAGCCTGACGTGGGATTTGATCTCACCACCCTGAGATCAGGACCTGATCTGAAACCAAGTGTTGGAGGCTTAACTGGCTTTGCCACCCAGGCACCTCCTGTCTCTTTTGGTTTTAAGGTAATCACACACCGGGGTGCCTGGCTGGCTCAGTCAGTGGAGTGTGTGGCTCTTGATCTCTGATTGTAAGTTCGAGCCCCACATGGGGTGTAGAGCTTACTTAAAAATAAAATCTTAAAAATACTAAAGTAATCACATGTTTTTTGAGCATTTCAAAATGATTTAAACCTCAGAGAATGCAGATTTTCTGCATTCCTGTGTTAATGGGCTTATGATGTTAATGCCAGCAAGCATTCATTTCATAGCCGTCTGTGCAGAGCCCTGTGCCAGTCATGTGGAGGGGACGAAAGCCACGCAGTGAGGCAGGCTTTTTTTCTGTGAGTTTATGATGGAGGGCGCATCCAAACATCCACTAATGAGAAAACTGCATGACATAAGTAAATGCATAAGTAACGGAAGTATCAGATGGGAACTGAGTTAGGGCTAAGGGAATGCAAAGTACGAGTCAGATCAGAGCAGAGTGAGATGAGTGAGGGAATCCTTCTGGAAGAGCCATATTTTAGGCCAGGTCTTCGGGGAAATGCATACAGTTGTAGACGCTAGAGAGTGTTTTGTCTCCATGGTACCCCTTGGTACCATGAAGGGGTAATAGTACATCTCTGATGTACTATTATGATGTACCTTTACAGTGTACCCCAGAAGCAGTAATAGTACATTTTCGATGATGTCAGATTTCCATGTGGATAAAGTGACTCCTTGGGGAGTGGGGAATTTCTGTTTTCTGATGAGTCTCTATTGGTGACAAGGGAAGCTGAAGATACAGATATGGGGCAGTGTGGGCAGGAACCAGCATGCGCAAAGGCGTAGACTAGAAATGTGCTTGCACGCAGGTCCGGCAGAGAGGGAAAGGCAGGCCTTCAATGGGGAGAGTCAGCAGCGAACTTGGTTGAACTGGTAAGAGCCCCCACTCAGCAGACCCTCAGACCTCTTCTCTGTCTTTGTAGAAAGCTGCAACAAAGTTCACTTCCACCTGCCCTACCAGTGGCAGATGTGGCTTGCAAACACCTGGATCGACCTCCAGCCCATGGAGAATATTGAGAAGGCCTATTGTGACCCCCAAATCCACACGTAAGTTGGCCGGACTGTGGCTTGTGAGGTTCACGGCATCATCAGAACAAAGCATGGTGCTACGCTCACGGCAAGAAGAAAAAACCATTTTCCTTCAGAATCGCACTTAGGTTTCTGGTACCTCTTGAGATAAAGATGGCAGATGCCTGCTGAGTTCATGAAGGAAAACAGGAGCTAGATCTGAAGTCACAAAGAGCCTGGCTAATACTAGGAGTTCTGGAACTGTTTGCTAACTCGTGTGATACAAGCAGTGACACAGGTACCATCACTGTGTCCTGCAGAAAAACATATTGCAAAATAAAAAAGTTTAAAAACAAACAAACAAAAAAAACACACACCCATTGCAGAGGTCGGTGGGTATTCCTGTGAACTCACACTAGGACCAGTGATGATAGCTCAGAAGAGCCTCTGGCTTAATTTCATAGCTGTAGAACACAAGTTGAGTAATTTCATATAGTTCTAGTGCAGAATTTTGTTGTCTACTTGAGCATTTTATATCTTCTTTTATGTTTGCTATTTTCTCTATCCTGGAGGTATCTAAAAGGATACCTTACATTTCTGTGTCTGCCAGGGGTTGAACTGGGTGATAGCTCTCATAACCATATTTATAAGGTGCATCCTAGTTTTATTAAGGAAACTCTTTTTTCCCCCTCATTCCCTATGCTGTACTTTTCATCCCTGTGACTTATTTTATAACCGGAAGTTTGTACCTCTTACTCCCCTTCACCTATTTTGCCCATCCCCCAACACCTCCCCGCCCCCAACTCTGGCAACACCGATTTGTTTTCTGTATTTATGATTCTGTTTCCTTCTCCCCCTCTTCCTCCTCCTCCTCCTCCTTTCTGTTATAAGGAAATTCTTTACGCGGGTGGAGGTGGGGTGGGGTGGGGCAATGGTTTACAGGCCATCCTCTTAGAGTGAATTTTTGGTGGAGATTGTGTTACTGCATGTTGCCACTAGAGGGCAGCATCAGCTACTTTCTTGTTTGGAGGTGTGTTTCTCCCCCTAGGTAAATCTGAAGCTGGCTTTCTCAACCTTAGCACTGTTGACATTTGGGGTTAGATAATTATTTGTTTTGGGGGGGCTGTTTAAGCAGCATTCTTGGCCTTTATCCACTAGATTCCTGTTGTGGACCAAAAATGTCTTTCAACTGTGCTGCATGTTCCCTGGGGGATAAAACTTCTTTATTGGGAAACACTGATTTAGGAGGTGTTTCTTAGAGCAATAATTTTCCAGCTTGTTGGTCTCAGGACCCCTCTACAGTCTTCAGATATATTGAGGATCCCAAAGAACTTCTGTTTATGTGAATTATAGCTGTCAATATTTACCACATTAAAATCAAAACTGAAAAGAATTCAATATTTATGGATTCATTGAAAAATAATAAACTCATTTATGATAACGTAAATACCATATTTTCATCTGCCTGTAAGTAGATATAATTACTATAAATAGTTACATGTAATAATTATATGTATGTATGTATAACTAAATAATATCTGTTTTCCAAAGTGAAACAGAAAAAGTCATTCAGAAGAATGACATTGTTTTATATTTTGAAAAATCTCTTTAATCTGTTGTAGCATCACACATCCTGTAGCCTCTGGAAAACTCCACTGTGCACCTGTGAGAGTATGAACGTGAAAAAGGCAAAATAATGTCTTAATATTATTATGAAAATAACTTTAATCTTCCAGGCTTCCTGTAGCTATTTAAATAATAATTCTTGAAAAACCCAACCTAATGTGAGTTTCTGACATTGAGCCAATCATTTTTTTTTTTTTTTTGTGGGTCCACTTTATTCTGGCATATTTGTTGAAGAGACAATATATTTTGTGACATCATTAACTATATGGGGTGGGTAACTTACCTACCCTATCTGCATTTTAGTTTTTTTCTTCTTATTTATGTATGACCTGGAGCTTTATAAAGAAAATTTAGGGGTACCTGGGTGGCTCAGTGGGCTAAAGCCTTCGGCTCAGGTCATGTTCCTGGAGTCCTGGGATCGAGTCCCACATCGGGCTCTCTGCTTGGTAGGGAGCCTGCTTCCCCCTTCTCTCTCGCTCTGCCTGCCTCTCTGCTTACTTGTGATCACTGTCTGTCAAATAAATAAATAAAATCTTAAAAAAAAAAAATTAAAAGATCCCAGTCAGCTCGAAGATCTTAATTCTGTGCTTTTGTTACGGAAGAACAGATTTTAGAAGATGGAGTTTGATGAAATATTCTGTTAACTTTAAGTTTTTCTCTCTCAGCTTTTCTATTGGAGATAAAAACATCGATTTCCAGAAAATGACTTGTAATTTTAATCCTATCCGACGCATATCCACGCCTTCGTCTGTCATAGCGCTGACGAATTTTGTCTTCGCCACGAAATGGATTTGGTACTGGAAGAGTGAATCGGACAAATGGATTGAATATGGAGAAGAGGTGAGTACCTTCCTGCTCGTGGAGGCTCTTGACATCTTCAGAAAAACCACTAGTAAAATGTTTGACACGAGAGGGGACAGGGTAGTGGCAATAGTGCTTTTTTCATGTTCCGCACAGCTGTATTTGCATTTTTCTTAGCAAGCGTATACTCTGTTGTCATAAGCAACAGCATCTGTGAATTTTTTACAAGGAAACCCTTGAGATCTGAGTCAGGGTCACACCCTTCTTTCCTCACGATCAGGGACCGAGGTGGAACCTTGAGCCAGCTTCCTCTGTGTGAGTTTGTAAATACACAGAGACCCCTGCTTCCAGCCAGTGGAGAAGGCAGGGTGAGAGATCAGAAGACTGGTCTCCAGGATCCCGGCAGGATCTGGATTCAGATGGATGGGAAGGACTGGACCTGGAAGATGGAAGGTTTATCACCCGCCCCCCCCCACCCCCAGGGACATGGAAACAGACGATAGAAGTTCAGATGAGGGAGTTATCTGACCCCTTCTGCTGGGGTCGTGATCCTGGGGTCCTGGGATCGAGCCCCACATAGGGATCCCTGCTCTGCGGGAAATCTGCTTCTCCCTCTCTGTCTGCCCCCTGCTTGTGCGTGCGCTCTCCCTGACAAATGAATACATAAAATCTTTAAAAATAAACAAACAGATAAGTAAATATAATAAACACAAATTTAAAAAAAAATGAAGCTAGAGCCAAAGTGGGGACAATGAAATGCCAGCGAAAGGTTTTATTCTGCATAGACGTCGATGGGCCCTGAGTTTGGCTGTGAGCGGCCTCACACCTGGAGCATGCGGGGAAGCACCGTCTGTCACAGGATCAGCTGCGCCTCCACAGGGAGAGCACAGCAGTTCCTCAGGAGAAACATTGCTTTTTTCTGTCAGTGGAACCTGAGGAGACCCTCTCCTCTGGGGCCACAGAGAGGGGAGCAGCCGGTGAGGTCCTCCCCAGGAGCCCTCCCGGCCCCGCTCTTCGTGGTACAGTGGTTTCCCCTCTGGCTTCGCAGCAGATCTGTGTCAGCAAACCGTCACTCATAGAACCCAAACAAAGGATCAGGGGGTAGAGCAGAGCTGCCCTGTGGAAATAGGAGAGGGGCTCAGAGCCTGGTCTCTTGGTCTCTGTCCCCTTCACTCTTCTCTGTCCTGTGGTGGCTTGTAGAACAGGATGGAGTGAAAACCCCAGTGATGCCAACCTCTGTCCAGGTTCTCTCCATGGTCCAGCCAAGGATGATGTCAAAGTGCAGTTCTGTAAAAGTGATTCTGTGAGTTGACTGTGGAAATAGAAATGACAAACTCAAATTAATTAGCCTTGGTTAAAATAAAAATAAACCATAGGCCTCAGTGGTTCTTATGTCAAATACTTGTGGCTTTTGGTAAGAGAGGGAAGAGGGTTCGAAAAGATTTGCATTCTAGGGACATCAGGGGTCCCAGAAGCAAAGGACGACTGTCAGTGGGGAATAGATGACATTTAAATGTACACAAGTTCCAGTGCTCCTGTTCCCTAGTAAAACATCAAGAAATTGAGAAACTTCTTTTTTTTCCTAATTATTAAAGATTTTATTTATTTATTTGACAGACTGAGATCACAAGCAGGCAGAGAGGCAGGCAGAGAGAGAGGAGGAAGCAGGCTCCCTGCTGAGCAGAGAGCCCAGTGTGGGGCTTGATCCCAGGACCCTGGGATCGTGACCTGAGCTGAAGGCAGAGGCTTAACCCACTGAGCCACCCAGGTGCCCCAAGAAACTTCTGATGAAACTTTTTAAAAAAAAGATTTCATTGATTTGTCAGAGAGAGAATGGGAGGGAACACAAGCAGGGGGGAGGTGGCAGGCAGAAGGATAGAGCGAACAGTGGGGAGAGGCAGAGAGAGAGGGAGAAGCAGATTCCCAGCTGAGCAGGGAGCCTGTTGTGTGGGGCTCTATCTCAGGACCCCTCCCAGGATCATGACCTGAGCCAAAGGCAGACACTTAACCAACTGAGCCACCCAGGAGTCCCGTCTGATAGAACCTCTTGATACGAAGTTCTCCTTGGGACATTCAGTCTGTGTTAAGTGCAGAGTTCTAGAATGTAACCTGGAACTTTATGCAAACATGTAGAATGTTGTTGGATTCCTTTAATCTGTGGCATATGTTCTTGGTGATGTGAATAAATTATGACTCCCTTATATTAATTAGACCCATCATTATATAAATTGAGTTGGCTCTTCTGTTTTTTTTCTTTTTAAGATTTTATTTATTTATTTTGAGAGAGAGAACGAATAAGAGAGAGCATGAGAGGGTAGAAAGTCAGAGGGAGAAGCAGACTCCCCATGGAGCTGGGAGCCTGATGCGGGACTTGATCCTGGGACCCCAGGATCATGACCTGAGCCAAAGGCAGTCGCCAACCCGACTGAGCCACCCAGGAGCCTTTGGCTCTTCTGTTACTAAAAAAAACAAAGGAAAATAGGCCCTAGGTTTGATGTTTTCCTTGCTGTCTGTCCAGGTGAAGTAAAAATGGGTCAAGTTTGTAGCTCTTTGATGGCCTGGTTTGATCCAGTGTAGAGGTTAGAATATTTGGAGAGAAGAATGGACTGTATAGCCTTCAGATGGGGAGAGTCCTACAGGTTTTATTTCTTGCAGCTGCATTTTTAATAAAAGTTGGGGCAACTCAGATTTCTGGGTTAGGAGTCTTCCTAGTAGAAACTGGTAGAATGGTTTTTGCCAACCAAGGGTAGGTGCATCACCCAAGGCCACGGCACACCACCGCTCTAGAAGCCAAGACCAAGGCAGTGATGTGGGCGCAGGGCAAAAGCCAGGACCCTGTTATGGAAATGGAGATACACATTCAAGTCTTTTGGGAGAATAAATCATTGAAGGCCCTGTGGCTCATTCACTCCTTCACTTACTCAGAACTGGAGTACGGTGTGAGGGAAGGGCCCGCAGGTGGACCAAGTGGGAGGCACACTGGGCTGTTCAGACACTCAGACACAGAAGTTGCCTCACTCTGTCCAGTAGGACAACCACTAGCCACTTGTGGTGACTATTTCATTTTCATTCAATTCATTACATTCAAATAAAATGAACACTTCATTTCCTTGGTCACACCAGTACCAGACAGCTGCCTGTAGCTAGTGGCTATCAAACAGGAAAACACAAGAGAACATTTCCAGGGAAACATTCCAGAAAGTTCCAGCAGACAACACAGGTGCAGACCCCCAAAGCCTTGCGAGTCGAAGTCTGGTCCCAGACCAGCAACATTGGCACCACGGGAGCCCTTTGACAAGCAGAATTAAAAACCCTGTTCCCTGAATCTGGTCTGCATTTTCACAGGGTTCCCCGCCCCGCCCACCATGATTCACACACAAATTAAAGTGTGAAAGGCTCTGGCCCAGAGCTTGTGAGGTTCCTTCCAGCCAGGAACAGGGTCCTGCTGAGCTGAGCTGGCGGCGGAAGGATCCGGGACTTCATCTGTCAGAATGGGAGGTTAGGACAGAGATTCGAGGTGGCAGACCAGGGTCCCCAGAGGTGACAGATCTGCCTTGCCGGCCCCTATGTTCTGTGTCCGTAGGCGTTTGCCCACCTCGCCTGCTTTTTGGGATCCTAGGGGGGGCATGTGACTCACCCCCCATCATCTAATCGGGGCGGTCTCATTCCCCCCTGCGCCCTGCTCGCGGCAGTCTCAGGGGTGGGTGATGGCCCCCCAGCTGTGCAACACACCCCTTCAAGGTGTGGCTTAATGGTTGGATGCTGTCATTCAGGAAGTTCTGCGAACGGGAGCCTCCGTGCCGCTTCCAGCCATCTGTCCTGGTTCTAGATTCTGAACCTCATTCTTGTTTATTCCCGCTTTGCGCTGTGTGCGGATGCCCGAACCCAGCCTCCCTGACCTCACCGTAGTCCTCTCCAGGCTAAGGGGACCCAGTTCAGGCCCTTCTCCATCCGGGACGTTTTACTTGGAGGCTTTCCAGGTGGCCCCCTCCTCCCTTACATCCAGCAGGCGTGTTCACCGGGGAAGGGGTGGGTGTAGCTGAGGTCTTGTCCTTAAAGAGATGGGGAGACCCTCCCTGCCCTCGGCTGGGAATTGTCTGTCATTAGCTCCTCCATTCTAGATCATAAGGAACAAGCGTCTCTTCACCATTATGTATTGGGAACCCCTGCTTTTCGGGCTTACATCCAGTCTGCCCTGGTCGGCCACCCCGGCACAGGCTGTGGACAGTGGAATGGTGGCCTGGCTCGTCAACTTACCAGAATCAACACACTTTACCTACTCATTCTGAGGTTCAGACCCTTGATACAGGCCTTGAGACCAGATTCTGTCTTTACCTTGTTGGGGGGCTGTGCTCCCTTCTTCTCTCATTACACAGTCCCAGTGAGAGGCAAATCCAAGCGCTTTTTCAATGTTGTTGACTGACTGGAGGGAGGGGCTGGTCCATTTTACCTGCTTACTGTGGTTCAGGGCAGAGGAGAAGGGGTGGGTCGTCTACACTGGGACCACAGTGGGCCCATGGGAGTTTCCCTGCCTTTTAGGACAACTCCAGCCTGCTTCCTCACACGAGATGGGCTAAAAACAGCTACGGTGTCTGACTTCATGCCCGAGGGTTGGATTCTGTTAGACAGCGACGGCAGACATGATTTCTGTCCCGTGGGTTTAGGGGGCTCTGTATGCTTGGGTCTTATTTTATAGAAGGTGTGAAAAGGACATTGTAAAGAGCCCTGTTTTTCAGGCATCCCCCAAGCGTAGGGTCCGTTTCTGCAAGTAGACTGGTCTCTTCTAGCCCCGTGATGCGGACGCCACAAGACCATGTGACGTGGCCCCAAGCCGGCCGCCTTTGCAGTCTGGTTTGGGAGGCAAGATGCATTCCTGTTGAAATCCCATGGCTAAAATACAATTGTGTAAGATATAATGGTTGAGGTTTCTCAAAAGCCTAGCCTGAAGTGTCTTTAACTTTTTTTTTTTTTTTAATTAGGCTGACAGTCAGCAGGCTTCTAGCATCGACTCTTCCTACCTGGAGTCCTTCTTTCTGTGCCATCCCAGGGGTGTTGTGGCATTTCACGCGGGCTCCCGGAACTACGAGCTGAGTTTCGCGGGTAAGACTTAGTGTTTGGCAGTGGTGCCCGTTGTTGGGATGTGGCATGCGGTGTCCACGTGGCGGTGGCAGTAGAGCGGAGGTGCAGGCCGTGCTTTTCAGCAAGGCAGGCGGCACGGTGGGGTGGCAGCCAGCGGCTGTCAGGAGACCTGTGCCCGAGAGCCTCAGCTCTGACAACAGCAGAGACTTTGCTTGGGCCCACCGGTGCCTTCAGAACCCTAGAACCTTGCTGTACCTTTTGGGCTTCATCATCTAGGTCACTGATCTTATCGATCTCCTTGACTGAGATTTGGCCTTCTGCCCTGTTTATCTGAGCCACCGTGGAAAGGCCTTCCGCTTAGCTTCTACCAGTCTGTTGCGTTTAGTAAGAGATCAGGGCAGGAACGACCCTCCCTCTGAAGGTACTGTCCCATCGGCTGCACCCCTGGGACACTTCCTTGCATATGGTCGGATGGTTGCCCTTTCGGGATCAGCCCTGCAGGTGCTTTGAAAGAGGTAAAGAAGACTTTCTCAGGTCCTTGACATTCCAGGTGGTACCTGACATCTGGACCCTATATCAGTTACTGTGTATTGAGGAATGTAGCTTCGAAAGGCCGTTATACCAATTACTGTATGTTGGAAAGCAGTCTGGTTCTCCATATCAAGAGATATTAAAAAATGCTTGCTTTAGGGTGCCTGGCTGGCTTAGTAGATCATGTGACTCTTGATCGCAGGGTCATGAGTTCAAGCCCCATGTTGGGCATGAAGCCTGCTTTTTCATTTTCTTGAGAATCTTTCTAAGGAAATAATTCACCAGGAGGGGAAAAAAAAAAAAAAAGCAATGAGCATGAAGATCTTTAGTAAAGCCCCTATTTGACATACTGCAGTAGAGAAACAGCCTGTAGGTTAGCCCTGTAATGACCAAACCAATTGTGGTATTAAATTTTGGTGGAGTACTGGTTAAAAATTATGATTATGAAAACTGCACAGTTAAAACCAAAATTTAATGTTGTTAAATGAAAAAGGCAGAAACCCCAAATCGTGCCTTTCTCTTTAGGTGTTGCGTTTCAAATGAAAAGTGTTTTTTTTTCTTTTTTTTCAAATGAGAAGTGTGTTTTTTTTTTTAATTTAATATGCATGGTAAATGCAACAGTGTATGTACGTGGACCAAGGCCAGAAGGGAATAGGAAGAAACAGAAATCTCTTCTGTTGATGGTGAAATTAAGAATGGCTTAAATCAAAAAAAATTTTTTTTCTTTGGTTGTTATTCTCTTGTTTTGGCAATTTAAAAAAGGGGTGGAGGGGTGCCTGGGTGGCTCAGTGGGTTAAAGCCTCTGCTTTCGGCTTGGGTCATGATCCTAGGGTCCTGGAATCGAGCCCCACGTCAGGCTCTCTGCTCAGCGGGGAGCCTGCTTCCGCCTCTCTCTCTCTGCCTGTCTCTCTGCCTGTGATCACTGTCAAATAAATAAATAAAATCTTTAAAAAAGATTAAAAATAAATAAATAAAATAAATAAAAAAGGGGCGGAGAGAGGAGAACCAGTAATGTACCTTGTTCCCGAATCTGGAGAAATTTGACCTGCAGTTTTGTTCACTGGGTTCATAGAAACTAGTTCGGAGCAGTTGGTGGTATTCTAGGTGATTTTTTTCTTATTTCTTATATTTGGACATCCCTTAAACTGGTATCGGCATGCCAGCTCTGTTGCTAGGCACTGTTCCGGGTGCGGGCGTCAGGCAATTTCTGAAAGTAATGACAGCTCTGGGGAAAATGAAGCAGTGTGATGGAGAAGCCAGGGAATTGGAGGAGTCCCTAGGAGAGCACCCAGTTTTGTCCCCAGAGGAACCCTTGGTAGGGAGGCAGTAGCCCCTGCACAGGGGAAGGTGGGCCCCCAAGAGAGGGAGAGGCTGGAGCTAAGACTGTGAAGGGACAAGCTGGAGGTTTCACAGAACACTGAGAAGGTCTGTAAGAGACGAGAGCTGCACAAAGGGTTGGAACGGAGTCGTGCCACCAGGTCATTTATTTATTTATTTATTTATTTTGAGGGGGGATGTGGATGAGCGGGGGAAGGGCAGAGAGGGTCAGGCCGAGGGAGAGGGAGTAGAGCCGATTCCTGCCTGATCCCACAGGCGGACTGGGGCTGGGTCCCGTGACCCTGCGATCATGACCTGAGCCGAAATAAAGAATCCCATGCTTAACCAAGTGAGCCACCTGGGCTCCCTGAACCATCTCATTTTATCTTATTTATTTATTTATTTGTAATTAAAAAAAAAAGATTTTATTTATTTATTTGATAGAGATCACAAGGAGGCAGAGCAGCAGGCAGAGAGAGAGGGAGAAGCACACTCCCTGCTGAGCAGAGAGCCCGATGCGGGGCTCGATCCCAGGACCCTGGGATCATGACCTGAGCCGAAGGCAGAGGCTTTTAACCCACTGAGCCACCCAGGCGCCCCTCATTTTATCTTTTTATTGCTATGTTTGTTTCACTTTGCATCAACTATACTGAAGCATAATTGCTTCAATAAAACACTTCCTTTTAAATTAATTAATTAATTTATTTATTTTAATAAACATATAATGTATTTTTATCCTCAGGGGTACAGGTCTGTGAATCGCCAGGTTTACACACTTCACAGCACTCACCATAGCACATACCCTCCCCAATGTCCATAACCCCACCCCCGCCCTCTCCCAACCCCCCTCCCCCCAGCAACCCTCAGTTTGTTTTGTGAGATTAAGAGTCACTTATGGTTTGTCCTTCCTTTTTTTTTTTTTTTTTAAGATTTTATTTAATTGAGAGAGAGAGAGAGAGCAAGCACACAGCTAAGGGGAGGGGCAGAGGGAGCAGACTGGTGAAGCAGACTGTCGGCTGAGCAAGGAGCCAGACACGGAGCTTGGTCCCAGCACCACAGGATCATGACCTGAGCCAAAGGCAGGCGCTTAACCAGCGGAGCCACCCAGGCGCCCCAAATGCATCCATTTTAAGTGTGCAGTTGGATGAGCACTGACGTATGGATGCAACTGCTCTCCTGATCAAGCTCTAGAACATTCCCATCAGTCCCAAAAGTTTCCTCACGCTCCTTTTGTAGTCGGTCTCTTCTGACCCCCATTTGCTCTCTGTCACTATAGATTAGTTTTATCTATTCTAGGACATCATATAAAGAACATCTTATGATATGAGCTCTGCATGGGGCTGACTTCTTTCACTCAGGATGTTTCTTAGACCCGTCTATGCATCGCACGTACAGTAGTTCTTCCCTTTTCAATGCTGAGTCACACTTAATTTTAAGGCTATAACATGGTTTGTTTTTATCTATTCACACTTAGTATTTTTGGTTGTTTTTTTTCTTTTTTTTAAAGATTTTATTTATTAGTTTGATAGAGAGAGACAGTGAGAGAGGGAACACAAGCAGGTGGAGTGGGAGAGGGAGAAGCAGGCTTCCCGCCGAGCGGGGAGCCCAATGCAGGACTTGGTCCCAGGACCCTGGGATCATGACCTGAGCCGAAGGCAGCCGCTTAATGACTGAGCCACCCAGGCGCCCCTTTTTGGTTGTTTTCACTTTTTGGTTATTAGAATAACGCTGCTTGAATCATTTAAACGCAAGTCTTTGTGTGGTTGTAAGTTTTCATTTCTCTTGGTTAAGTACAAGAGAGCGGGATTGCTCTATCAAGTAGGTACTCTGTGTTTAACTTCGTAAGAAACTGCCCAAATGTTTTCCAAAGCGTATGTGCCATTTTATACTTTCACTAGCAATATAAGATGATTTCCTTTTTTTAAAAGATTTTATTTTATTAAATCAAATTAATTTTAATTAAATTTAATTAATTTCATAAATCAATGTAATTTTGTTAAATTTAATAATTTAAATATTAATGGTTTAAATTAATTCAATAATTAAATCAATTTTGATTAATTTAAACTTAATTTAATAAAATTAAATTGATTTTGTTAGATTAAATTTTATTTATTTGAGAGAGTGAGAGAAAGCACCAGTGTGTAGGCGGGGGGAGGGGCAGAGGAGGAGGGATAGAGAATCCCATGCAGACTCCTCGCCAAGTGCAGAGCCTGACGTAGGGCCCAGTCCCAGCGTCCTGAGATCACAACCTGCGCTGAAACCAAGAATCAGATGCTCAGACACCTCGATGATTTACTTTGTAAAGAGCTCCCTCTGGCTGCAACTTGGGCCTGGGTCAACAAGGTGCATGAATTGAAAATGACATTTCGGGGCACCTGGGTGACTCAGTGGGTCAAAGCCTGTGCCTTCCGCTCAGGTCATGATCCCAGAGTCCTGGGATCAGACCCTGGGCTCTCTGCTCAGTGGGGAACCTGCTTCCTCCTCTGTCTCTCTGCCTACTTGTGATCTCTGTCAAGTAAATAAAATAAAATCTTAAAAAGAAAGACAATGACATTTCACACTTGAAGATCCTTCAAGATACAGCTACCACATTCCAACCCAGAATCACTGATGTCTGGTTTAGGGCAGCTTACTGGGAGGATGTCTTGTTAGCTGGCTGCCCTTGTCCTTCCCTTTACTCTCTGACTTTGATTTACAGATTAGATTAATTGCCGACTGCTCCTCTCATTGCCTCTTTGTTTCCTGGGTCTTATCAGAAAGGCAGGGAAGGATGCAAGTTTTTAATCATGAGCAATTCCCATCCGAAAAGATTTTCTCTGTTCATACCTGTTACAGTTCAGCCATGCATATTTGCTGTGTTACTAGCCTAAGGAAAATAACAGGAGGGGCACCTGGGTAGCTGAGTGGGTTAAAGCCTCTGCCTTCGGCTCAGGTCATGATCCCAGGGTCCTGGGATCAAGCCCCACATTGGGCTCTCTGCTCAGCAGGGAGCCTGCTTCCCTTCCTCTCTCTCTCTGCTTGCCTCTCTGCCTACTTGTGATCTCTGTCTGTCAAATAAATAAATAAAATCTTAAAAAAAAATAACAGGACATCATTTTCTAGGACTAATTGTTGGTTCTTGTTTGTTTTCCTTTTTCTCTCTAAAGGCATGATTCAGACAAACGTAGCTTCCAAGACCCAAAAACGTGTGGTCAGAAGGCCAAAATTTATGTCGTACAAGGACGTGGAGCAGATTAAAAGTGGGTTCAAGTAAGTGTTTGGAAACACTGCCTACCGGCAGGTCCTCAACACAACCACCCGCTGATCTCACCAACTTACTCGTCCAGTCTGTGCTCTTGAACTCTTCCTGCTTTCATTCCACGGTGGTTTCCTCTTGCATCATCTGCGCTCGTGAAGCAGTACAGGGGGCCCAGAAGGGTGGGTGAGCAGGAAGTCCATCTCCCTGGGATTCACAGGGGACTTGGGGCAAACCTCCCATACCAGGGTCCCAGCTTCTTCACCGTGAATGGCCCGGTCGATGGGGTGAGCCTCGGAAGTAGTCAAGTGCACAGTTAAAGGTGTTTTGTTTTGTTGTGGGTTCTTCTGTGTGTCTTTAGTGTAGCTGAGTGGATTTAACAAGGGGAGGCGGCAGAGAAAGAAATGGAAGAAGAGAGGGATGTGTTAGCTGCCTGAGGGAGGAGATTTGGACAATGATACATGAGATGAAAGGGAATTGTTTAAAGGACACTTTGCTGTGGGGGTTCAGTGTCACTCTCCTCTGTCTGCTCTGGAAACTCAGTGAAATCTACATTGTTCCACTGTGGAGATGGACGCCTCCCGCCCCTGCCCCTGGGGTAATAATGTGGTTATGTAAAACAGATTTCAAGGCAGGTGGAAAATCAAGCATGGCATTTTTGTAGTTGATTTATATAAATTTTTATCCAAACAAGGTATGTACATTGGATTTGGTAGATTTGTCTCTTAAACCTCTTAATCTAGTACATCCCCTCACTTTTCTTTCTTTCCTTCTTTCTTTCTTTCTTTCTTTCTTTCTTTCTTTCTTTCTTTCTTTCTTTCTTTCTTTCTTTTTTAAAAAGAAATTGGGTGATTCATCCTTATAGAATTTCCCAAATTCAAAATATATCAAATTGTATGCCCATGGGGGCATCTGATAAGTAATTTCTGTGAGTTGATGGTTAGATGTAGAGGCTTGATTAGACTCAGGCTCCATTTTTGGTCAAAAAAACTATAGATGTGGTACTTTGCTTCCTGCCACACTATAGTAAGAAGTACGTAATGTCTAGTTGTCCTATTTTTAATGATGGAGATGAGCTGAGGGGTTCAGGTCGGTCCAGTGTGACCCCTCTGTTCCAGCACCTGATCTCTCACTGGATCATTATCATAGCTAATGGGGGGGGATCATTGTTTCAATCCATTATTTCACTAGGGGTTACAAAACGGTGGTTTTCTAATCCTGTCAATTCTGCAGTTAATAGCTATGAATTGTCTGTAAAGAAGACTTTTTCCTCCTGGATAACTATACCCCAAAATACAGTTCCTACAGGAAAGACAGCAGAATTCTTTCCCCATGCCTCAGCGTACCCCCCCATCCCCGGGCCTCAGTCTTGTTTCACATGGATACTGTAAGATATCTTTTTGCTCACGTATTAGGTTCTCTGAAGGTTGGGCAGAAATCTGAAAAGGAATGAGTGCTTTGAATTTTAAGTCAGTGGGAAAATAACACTAATTTATCAAATTATGAATAATGACTTTTTTTTTTGGAATCATGATTACTAGTACATCTATACCAGGAATATGCAGGAATATAACCCAAAATAAAGTACAAAGAAAAAATTCTCTGGGAAACCCTGGCTTTGTGGCTGGAATTTTGGGACAGAACTTGGGCATATGGAACAGGGAACGAAATGAATTCTTTCTCTTCTTGGTAGGTATCAGCTGGCACCGACCCCGTCAGACTCTTTACCCTCGGCACTGCTTCCTCAGTGGGACTTTGGCTCTGGTGGCTATGAGGTACTTGGTTTTTACCTTTTGGTATATAAATTGTTTAAAGGCAGGGGGAAAGCATTTAGCTGTCAATGTGTATATTTGTTTGGATGAAAGGATGGTTTCTGTAAAACTCCGGTCAAGATTCAGTGGCATCCCAATGGTAACTGTATTACCTTCCCAGAGAATAGCCACCCCTCCACAGGGTACCTCACCGTCCAGCCACACACCATCTCTTACTGCACATCCTTACAACAACCCTCTGACACACATATTATCATCTCCACTTCATGGATGGGAGCACTGGAAGTCCTTGTCTGTTAGCTGGAGTTCAAAGGCAGTCTTCTGTGGGACCCACACACTGCCTCACCTCATCACCTACCTTGGATGGGGCAGGACTCTTTCTAGATCACTTAGCTTAGGTGTCATGCTCCAGCTTTGGATGCAGGCCTCTCTGCCTGGGCACCTTGGTCTAGCTTTAGGCAAGGAACTCACCGGGTCCTTCAAGTAAATCCGACACTTCGGGGGGTGTCCCTTTGCCTTTAAGCATAAAGCTAGCCCTAAGTCAGCCTACACAGATGGGCCCAGGGCCAGCTGGTTCATTACTAAAATGAACCTCCAGATGTGGAGATCCTAAGCCAGCTTATCCCACCTGCTATAAAAGGCTTGGCAAGGATACTCCATGGTGTATGGGGTCACGGGTGTGGACATACATGCTTCCCATTTTACATATTTTTTTTTTTCAAATTTTTTAGCTGTTAGAGATCGATAGTCGGTGTCCGGAATATGCCATGATAGGTGACTATTTTAAAGCTTCCATGAAAAATTTCAAGATCGAAAAGATAAAGAAGATCAAGAACACAAAGCTCTTGAGTACTTTTGAAAGGTTGGTGGCCACCTTCTGGGGTTTTCTTTTCTTTTTTTTAAACGCAAAGTTTTGAAAGATTAGTTAAGTGCTGTGGTGTAAAACGTATTCACCGGTTCATTTTACAGTCAAGAATTTCTTCAGCGTCTGGTTGTTTTTTTCATGTTGTAAACTCGAACTTCTCTCAGCTTCGGTGTTAGGACTCTCTGATTTAATGTATCTGTCATTTAAAGGCCCTCATAAGTTTACTTTTCTGCACCTGGGGCATTCATGTTAGGAGCTCTGTTCTGAAAATGGGTGGAATCCCATTTTAAGACGATTAGACTTTATTGGGATTAGTGTCATTAACCAGAGTGGGAGAGGAATGCTCTGGGTGTTAAGTCTCACATTTCCTCTATTAGGAAAAAAATGAAGATGAACAACAGAATGGAAAAAATCCTGTTTTATGCGATAAACCGCATCCATCTGGAGTCTGTCTGTAAGAATAATTTTGACTGGATCTTACATGGAACTGGTGAAGCCAAATATGGAAAAGGTTTGTGCTGCAATAGAGAAGCCTAACTAGTAGAGTCCTAACTTAGGCTCTGTTACGAGGTGGGAGCCATGATCGCGTACTAACCAGTGTGTGCGGGCTTTTGCGTGCCTGGCGAATTCAGCTCTTGTTAACCTTAACTGCCCAAATTATAGGGGTATGTTGATTTGGGACTTGATTGCCATAGCATATCCTTGCTCCTGTCTTGGGGTTTTGGGGAGGTAGAAGGATGGAAGCATCTCGTACATGCTTGTGACCTCTTCTAACTGTTGGCTACGTTGTCTACCATTACTGCTCACTTTTACCAGTGGCTTGTCTGACTTAAGTCCAACCCTGCGAAGCCACTACAAGTAGCCTGCCACTGCCACTGATGGGTTCTTTTTTTTTTTTTTTTTTTTTTAGATTTTATTTATTTGAGAAAGAGAGTGTGAGCAGAGGAGAGGAGCATAGGGAGAGAGAGAAGCAGGCTCCCACTGAGCAGGGAGCCCCATGATGTGGGGCTCGATCCCAGGACGCTGGGATCATGGCCTGAGCTTAACGCAGACCCTTAACTGACTGAGCCCACCAGATGCCACCCCTCTGCTCATTTTTAAATAAGACTGTTTTTTGGTGTTGGGTTGTACCATCCATGTAATTCTCAAAACAAGCAAGCACCACGAATCACTCATCTTAAGAGAACAACAAATAGTGTATCAAGTTTCAAGGTGGGCTCAACTCATACAAGGAAGATTAAATTCACACACACTGTGGAAAGCAAGAAGCCCGTCAGTCAGCCGAAAAATATTTTCGAGTGCTTTCTATACAGTAGATACGGGGGGACATAGCGGTGAACAAAGTAGACATGGCCCCCATCAAAATTACTTCACATAATTAATCAAATGATGGCAAATGTGCAACTACTGTAGAGGGAGTAAACAGATTCTGTGGACACCTAGTCTGGCTGGAGAGCGGTTCCCAAGGGAAGGCACAGGAGGGATCATCTACACTGCAGAGTCCCTGTGGGGAGTGAGCGACAAGTGGTGTAAGACATGGCGCCACAGGAAACCGTTGAAACTTGACCCTGAGGGCATGGGAAGCTAATGAAGGAGCTTAAGGGGAATGACTTGATGAGAATTTCATGTGTATTAAGTTTAAATGCATGGATAAAGGGGCACCTGACTGGCTCAGTTGGAAGAGCATGCGACTCTTGATCTCAGGGTCATGAGTTCAAGTCCCATGTTGGGTGCAGAGACTACTTAAATAAATAAATAAACTTTAATAGCTTTTTTTTTTTTTTTTTAAGGATTTTATTTATTTATCTGTCAGAGAGAAAGAGGGAGAGAGAGCGAGCACAGGCAGACAGAGTGGCAGAGGGAGAAGCAGGCTCCCTGACAAGCAAGGAGCCCGATGTGGGACTCGATCCCAGGACGCTGGGATCATGACCTGAGCCGAAGGCAGCTGCTCAACCAACTGAGCCACCCAGGCGTCCCAATAAGCTTTAAAAAAGAGCCTCACTAAAGATTTGCTTAGAAATGTTTGGAGAAAGCGGGATGACCACCTTGAGTGAAACAGGTTTCTCTTATGTTAGAACTCAAAGGAAAATTTACTGCAGAAAATGGAAATTTGGTACACGTGTTCTTCAGTTTTGGCCCTAATTGGCTCTGATTGTGACATGCATGGGCATGTAGTCTGTTTTTCCTATTTTGTTCATGAAAGGGCTCGGATACCCTCTGAAATACATCTTTTTTTAAAGATTTTATTTTTACTTATTTGACAGAGATCACAAGTAGGCAGAGAGGCAGGCAGAGAGAGAGAGGAGGAAGCAGGCTCCCCACAGAGAGCCCGATGCGGGCCTCGATCCCAGGACCCTGAGATCATGACCTGAGTCGAAGGCAGAGGCTTTAACCCACTGAGCCACTCAGGTGCCCCTGAAATATATCTTGATAGTTCATAGTGTTACTTACTATCGCTTTTCCTTTAACTTGATGAAAGAGGAGAGTTCCTGATAGCCAAGAAAACACAGGCAAAGATGGAGTCTGCAGTTCTCACCAATGGGCAAGGTGTCCGTCTGGGAACTGTGCCCCCTTTTCCCATGCCATCCTCTCTTGAGAAGGTGGTGATCCTCCTACTCGGCCTGTTTCCTGTTACCCAGAGTTAGGAGGTGTTTTTGTTTTGTTTGTATTTATTTTTCATACCAACTTGCCACTTCCATCACCTGTGATGGTACCAGTCCCAGCTAGATAGGCGGGTATGAACTGTGGCACCCATAATCTTGAAAAAAAAGTTCAGGCAGTTGTCCTAAGGGAGGCCAAGCAGCAGACCTCAGACATACTGCTCCCCGCTGAGGGAAAACAGAGCCCCCCTTTTGCACCCATGAAACCTCTCCCTAGGCTGTTCTCTGCCTGATATTGCATGTGACTGTGTTAAGAAGAGTATCAGGAGAGTAAGATGTGCCTGGAAAGACAGGAGGGCTCTGGGCTACTTTTGATAAATTGGAGGTGGGAAGAGGGCGTGTGATGGGAGATGGCAGATTGGAGGGGAAGACGGGTCAGGAGGAGAGTTGGTAAGAGCCGGGAAGTTGAGCAGACCTGCTGAGCAGAGTCTGCACTGAGAAGAACAAGAGTTAGGGGAAAGTCACTCAACCTCCCAGTCAGAGGACACGATGAAAACTCCAATTTGGATAGTAAGTGGAAGCAAGTGAAATTAGAAACAGAAGCACATGTTTGGGGGTGGAGCTATGCAAAGAAGGACCGGTCCTGGTTACATACTGGATTGAAGAGGCCCGATGGGGGCATATAAGGCCTCAGAACGTATTTGGGGTCTAGGGTGCTGCAGATATGGACGGCTATAAAGTCTGCTGAGATTCTGCAACCCAGGGACTGCCCAGTGGTTGGAAAGAAAGAAACCAAAAATGTTATTTTTGATGATATGAGTGTCTACATAGAAAACCCAAAAGAATCTACGGAGAATTGGAATGGTGGTATTCTAGCCCCGAAATGGGACACATGCGTTCCCCAGCCACTGGACTCCTGTCCGTCATCCCTGACAGGCCCAGAGAGCTAGAGCGTGGATGCCTGAGTAACACAGTTAGAGCCAACTTGACCTTTTTGGACTCCCAGCCTAGAACAAGGTCCCTTTCCCTGGTATTATTCAGAGTTCTTTCTAGTTAACAAAACCCGTTTTCTGCAGTGTGTATTCAGATCCTTTTTTGGTCATCAAAAGCTGACTATGATTCTTTCTTTCTCCTTAAGAAACCTCCAGTGGTTCTTATTCTCTCTGAGGAAAAGAATATGTCTGGCTAAAGTAAAAGTGATAATATAAAGAATTGTAAAAAGGAAAAAAAAAAGCATAATATTATCCCATTAAGTCAATTATACTAAATAAATGAAAAAAATGAATAAAATAGATTATAGGAAGATAGCATATTGTGAAGTCTAGGCAAAAACCAAACGAAACCAAAACAGTTGGGAGAAGAGTGTTTATGAAGGCTGAAAATTGACAAAGGCCAGGAGGGCTGTAGACAGCACAGGGCATTTAAAGTCCGGTAGGAATGACAAAGGAGAAGGTTGGAGCTGGAGGTCAAGATCCAATCCTGACACACCTTGTAAGCCATGTGAAGGGGAGGGAATTAATCCAGAAGGCAATCACAAACCACCAGTGACTTTGAGAAGGAAGTACCAGGACTCGGACTGCATGTAAGAAAGGATAGGCAGGGCCAAGCCTATAGGAGGAGAAAGTAGGTAGGGAGGTCGTTTCCAGAGTCCAGGTAATGGGGTGCCTGAATGGCTCAGCTGGTTAAGCAACTGACTCTTGGTGGAGGTCTGCTCAGCTCCTCCTGATCTCAGGGTTCTGAGGTCGAAGTCCACCTTAGGCTCTGCACTCAGTGTACAGTCTGCATAAGACTCTGTCCTTCTGGGGCACCTGGGTGGCTCATTGGGTTAAAGCCTCTGCCTTCAGCTCAGGTCATGATCTCAGGGTCCTGGAATTGAGCCCCACATCGGGCTCTCTGCTTAGCAGGGAGCCTGCTTCCTCCTCTCTCTCTCTCTGCCTGCCTCTCTGCCTACTTGTGATCTCTCTCTCTCTGTCAAATAAATAAATAAAATCTTTAAAAAAAAAATACTCTGTCCTTCTCCCTCTGCCCACCGCCCCCCAAATAAATTAAAAAAAAAAAAAAAAGAAGAAGAGTTCAGGCCAGAAATGAGGGCGGCCTAGATCCAAGTAGAAGGATGAAGGGATGAAGAGGATATTGGGGTTCAGGGAATCTATCACTCATAAGAGGTATTTACAATAAGACAGAGTCCAGGTTTTAGGAGAGAGTGGGCTGTAAGGCTGGCTCTTCAGGTTGACTCACTTAAGCAAATGTAGATTCTAGATTATATAAAAGTGATTTTTAAGAACACTTGAAGATAAAAATAAATAAATAAATAATAAAAAATTAAAAAAAAAACCACCACCTGATGATCCATTTTAAAAATCAGTTCTTTAGGGTAATAGTTACTCTTTTCTGAATGGGAAATGATAAAGATACCCTCCAAAGGCCTAGAGTAACTGTATAAATGTAACTGTGTATGTATTTTGTCATTGGCTTCACTTGTCTTTCATTTGGTTACCACTGATAAGCAAAAATAGCTGAATAGGGGTGCCTGGCTGCCTTAGGCAGTAGAGCGTGCAACTCCTAATCTCTGGGGGCCGTGAGTTCAAGCCCCACATTAGGCATGGAACTTACTTAAAAAAAAAAAATAGCTGGGGGCACCTGGCTGGCTCAGTCGGTTAAGTGTCCCAGCCCTAGACTTCAACTAACTCGGGGTCGTGAGATCAAGCCCTGGGTCGGGGTCTCTGGGTGTGGAGGCTGCTTGAGGTTCTCTCTCTTCCCCCTACCATCCCCTGCTTGTGTGTGCTCTCTCTCCTCTCTCTCTAAAATAAATAAATCTTGAAAAAAAATAGCTTAGTAATCAAATCAGTACTAAGACTTAATTAGAAAATAGAAAAAACTAATTTAAGAAATACAAAAGTAACTCAGTGCCGTTAAAATATGTACAACTATCTCTGAATGTTGCAAATAGGTTTTATGGCTTTGTCAAGCAATAAAAATGCACACTCAACCAAAAAAATGCACACTCAAGAAAAATATGGATGGAATTTTTGTCTGTTGACTTTATTCCATTTGCTTTAAGTCAAATATATTTTTACCAGTAACTCCATACTATTTATTTGACACCTTTTACATGCGTAAGTGGAGTTCACTTGTCTGGAAAGATTTGCTTTCTGAAAGACAACTTGGAATTGGAAAGAGTGAACAACTGTGTTATGAGTAGCCCACGTTGTTTTCTTAAAATTCCTGTATTGAAGATTGTGTATGTTTTTTCTTGGGAGCTTCTCAGAAACATTTAGTCTTATTTCAAAACAGCAGTATTTTTTTTCCCCCCTCAGCCCAGCAAGTGTGGAGTGGGAGTAAAGAGACACTAGAGGCAGGCAGCAAGAAGAAAATTAGCAGTTTAAGGTGGAGAACAAGATGGGGAATGATCTGCAAGACACAAACATAACTTAACATTTTTCTTTCGTGCTGTGCATAGATCATCAGTATAGGAGTAAATGGCTCCATCCCCCTTAGTAACTCAACAGGGCGTCCCTATAATGTAACACCCTATATCAGAATTAATATCTACATCTGACGCAGCAGGACAAGAAAGGGCAAAATGACTTGTTCTGCTTTTTACATCAGAGAAATGTATGTGTGTTAGAAAGATTTCCTTACAAAACAGCTCAAGTTGTTTAGAAGTTCCAGAAGCTGACATATGAGGAATGGCTCTTTGCAGACACCAAGAAATGACTTGCGACTATACTATGATGCACAGAGCCGGGTAGTGTGATACTGAGTTCGTGGAGGGTATCCATCAAAAGAGAGAGAATAAAAATAAAGAAGGTACAGGGGCTCCTGGGTGGTTCAGTTGGTGAAGTGTCTGACTTCAGCTCAGGCCGTGATCTTGAGGTTCCAGGATCAAGCCCTGAGTCAGGCTCCCTGCTCAGTGGGAAGTCAGCTTCTACCTCTCCCTCACTTTCTGCCCCTCCCCCCACTTGTGCATTCTCTCTCTCTCTCAAATAAATTAATAAAATCTTTTTTTAAAAGATTTTATTAATTTATTTGACAGAGATCACAAGCAGGCAGAGAGGCAGGCAGAGAGAGAGGGGGAAGCAGGCTCCCTGCTGAGCAGAGAGCCCAATGCGGGGCTCGATCCCAGGACCCTGAGATCACGACCTGAGCCGAAGGCAGAGGCTTAACCCCCTGAGCCACCCAGGCATCCCAATAAATAAAATCTTTGAATAACAGTAAAATAAAGAAGGCACAGCCTCTCTACTCAGGGGATAGCAGAGTGATATAGAATATATCTGTAGTAGGTCGTCTGGTAAAACAGGAGCTGGAACTGGCTGGGAAGGAGGGTTGTTGGCAGTGACAGAGGTAGAGTGGGTGGCCCGATAGAATTGTGGTGGGATGATGATTGTCATTTGTGTCCTTGGTCATTTTCCAATTGTCTACTGGCCTACTTTGTAAGATTAGAAAAAGGTCCATATGGTCACTGTCTTTGAAATATAAGCTTGTTTTGGTCACACATCAGTAAAAAAAAAAAAAAAAAAAAAAAGACAAAAGTACAACAGGAGAAAAAGGTATAGACAAGCCGTTCCAAGAAAGAGCATATGAAATATGCCAATAAGCCTATGAGAAGATGCTTCATGTCACTAGTATTAAGGGAAATGCATATTATAATCAGATTTTTTTTTTTTTGGTACTTTGTACTGACAAAAATTAAAAGGATAGTTGATATCCGATGTTGACAAGTTTTGTAGCAATGGGACTTTCTCCATCGCTGGTAAGATTTTTGGACTGCTTCTGGAGGGCAGTTTGTAATAATCTGTCAAAGTGTAATATGCCCAGGTCTTTTGACTCAGCCGCTACAGTTTTCCAGTCTGTTCCATGGAAATACTTACACAGGTTCTCAAAGGCATATTCACTAGGATGTTTTGAAAGCATTTTTTTAGAAGTGTTCTTGGTAATGGCAAAAAATTAAAAATAACCTACATGTTAATCAATACAAGAGTCAAATTATGATACATCCATACAATGGGATCCTGTGCAGCCACTAAAAAGAATGATGTGGGGTTAAATGGGGTGACAGTGAAATTTCTAGGACTAGAGTGTAAAAAAATGCAGAACAGTTAATACAGTATAATCCTACTAATGAACAAATAAATAAAAGAACATTAAACTGTACCAGAGTAAATGTGTTATATATGTATGTAAATGTCTGGAAACAGGTGAGAGAAGCAGTGTTTGGGAGGGACAGCAGGTCAGGAAATGGCAGGTCAGTGTAGTGGACTTTCGTTTCTTATTCCAAATAGAGTTGAATGTCATTTACCCAGAATATCCAGTATCTGACCTCTTCAGGATAAGCAGTATTTCTGGAATTCAAACATCTAAATTATTTTTTAAATAAATCATAATAAAAAAAATAAGGTAAATGAAAAAATATTAAGCACTTGTCACCATAAATAAATTCATTTTACTAATTAATTTTTGCATAGAAAATCAGAATTCACAAATATATATGCATTTCTTTTTTTTTATTTTAATTTTTTTAAAAGATTTTATTTATTTATTTGACAGCACAAGTAGAGCAGCAGGCAGAGGGAGAGGGACCCCCAGGGAGCAGGGACCCTTATGGGTGGCTCGATTCCAGGACCCTGGGATCACGACCTGAGCCGAAGGCAGCTGCTTAACCGACTAAGCCATCCAGGTGCCCTCAAATAAATAAATCTCAAAGAGAGAGAGAGAGAGAAGCATCTGGCAATGACAAAAATAAAACAGGAAATTTCAGTTTGTCAAGAGATCGTTGTTGATCTGCTGAGTACAGAAACCTCAGTGAGGCAGGGGCACGTGGATGGCTCAGTCCGTGAAGCCTCAGTCTCTTGATTTAAGCTCAGGTCGTGATCTCGGGGTTGTGAGATGGGGCCCTGCCTGGGCTCAGTGCTGAGAGTGGAGTTCTGCTTGGGATGCTCACCCTTCTTCTGCCCCTCCCCCCGCTGCACACACGCATGCGCGTGCCCTCTCTTCCTCTCTCCCTCTCAAATAAACAAACACAGTGTAAAAAAAAAAAGAGAGAGAGAGAGACCTCAGTGATGCAGAGGTTGTTCTAAGGTTGTGGACGATAGATCAGCTGTTTTGGAAAGGTCTGCAGGGTCCATTGCTGGCCCATGCTATGCTTCCCTCTCACATTTTCTGAGACCTTCCCATCAGTAGTAAATGACCTTTGTTCCTTAAAATGTACACAACAGAAAACAGCCTCTGCTGAAGGATCTTTGGTCCAATAAGTTCCAAATCAGCTCACCCTGCATGATTTGCACGAGTTGGGCTGCTCACACCATCTCTGGGAGCCGTTGCACAGTGTTGTTTCTGTTATTTCAGTAGGGTTATATAGTGGATTCAGATTTACTTGCATCATGAACATTTTTTTCGGTACAAAGGAAAGTTGATAAGTATCAATAAGGTGTTGCTGACACATGCTTAGGGAACGCCCATCATCTGATGTTATGTAAATAATCTTACAAACTACATGCCTTCTTTCATAATAATTCTTTACCCTTTTCTTTTTTTGTTGGTTTCTAGGCATTTACTTCACTAAAGATGCCATCCATGCCCATAAAAATTGCCAGTGTGATACCAGAAACATCGTTATGTTTGTAGCTCGAGTCCTGGTTGGAGATTTTACTCAAGGAGAGATGGGAAGCGTTAGCCCTCCCCCACCGCCGTATGACAGCTATGTGGATATAAGGTTGAATCCCTCCGTTTTTGTTATCTTCGAGAAAGATCAGATTTACCCAGAATATGTGATTGAATATACTGAACTAGACAAAGCCTGCGTGATTAGTTAGGAATGATGAATACAGTGTCATAAAGAAGGGCATCACCCTTCTGTTCGCTTACAGAGCCAGATTGCCCCAGATCGTAACATTTTTACATTTCTCATCTAGTTATCAAACGCCTTAGATCAGTGGTTCCCAAACTTTGCTCCACATTTGAATTGTCTGGGAAGCTTTTTAACAAGTCCAGTGTTCAGATCGTACCCCATGCCAACTTAATCACTGTTTCTGGTGTGAGAGCTTGGGCAGAGGTATTCTTTAAAATCCCAAGGATTCGAATGTGTCCTAGAGTTTGGGAACCACTGTCTTAAGGTATAACTGGGAACGACGGATTTCTAAAACGTCTGTAGCAAGTTTCTCTCCCAGCTCCTCTTCGTTTACTGTAGGACATGGTTTGGTTTTGGTTATGTTGAAAGAAAAGTAATTTGGGCAATTTGAGAGAAATCTAAAAATGCCTGTGGAAGTAAGGACATAAGACCGTACTGCCTTGGATAGAAGATTATGGAAAGTTGTGGGGGGAATTTTTAGGAAAGTCCAGGGGTGGGGGGTGGGGGGGAGAAAAGGTAATTTAAATACCATCACGGATGTAACTGTACTATACCTTTGTGGTAAAACCGAATTGGGGCACACATTTCTTTATCTCTACGTTCATTTAGGGGCTCCATTCACGTTGGTTCTCTGGAATGCAATGAAAAGAGCCGCAAAGTGGGGCTCAGAGAGAAGCAGCCAGCTGGAGTTAATTGCCCATTTGGGTTCTTTATATAATTGTAGCAGAGTAGACATTTATATTCTAGTATATGATTATAGAGAATGTTTTCAGGTTGCACTTTGATGAAATGTCTGTGTTGTGGGGGGTCTGAGTTGCAGTAACCAGACTCACAGAAGCATGACTAATAAACCTGAGTGTTCTTGTAGTCGTTCGCTGTAGTGAGTGAGGCTCACCGTGGAATTAGGAGCCAGGCCATCCCTACTGAAGGATGGGCCCCTTAAGGAGACAAGATTTGTTTCTGGGTGAGCACGGAATCCGAACAAAGAGAACAATGCCTCAAACAGGTCTTACACCTGTAAGGGGCTTCTTTTTTACTAAATATCACGGATTGTATGGAATTGAAGTACAATCAGTTTTTAAAGCAGTTGAGGTTCCTGGACCAAGATTTCTTTCCTTCTTAGGAAACAGATTTTTCCTTTCAGTTTTTCTTTTCCACATTCTGTACCATTCACCAAAATTTCCTGTTCATCTCCTGCCAGCAGACATGTTATAAAAGTTAATTAGCATTAGAGGTAATTTTATATTAGTCAGATAGTAGATCGGTACAATCTGTACTGTAGGTTGTACAATCAGAACAGTCTACAATGTGGTAGATCCACAACCCCTTGGTATAAAGGACTTGGTATAAAGTAACAAATGCATAGAAATTTTTTAGGGCAGGATTATTTTCTGGGAGGCTTGTCACAAATAGGTACTCTCATTTGCCTTTTTTTTTTTTTTTTTTAATGGTACTTCTGTTTTGGAGTTTTCATTTCCTGATCTTGGTTCTCACATTTTCAGAGATGCAAATTGTCCAACTCTGATCACGCATTAGACATCTCTGGTTGGATATTTCACAGACACTTGTAAAGCAACATGTCCCGAATGGAATTCTCAATCTGCCTCCTTTAAACGAATCACCTTCTTCCCGAGTGTTCTGTACCAGAAGTCATCCTTGACTTCTTCCTCTCCTTCTCCCACGCTGTTCCCAAATCTAATTTTCTCTCTTAAATATTTCGTTGTCCCCTTCTGAGTTCTTTACTTAGCAGTAAGAATGGTCATATTTTATCATTTTTTACATTATAATCTTTAAAAACACAAATCTGACCATGCCTTTAGAATAAAGATCAAAATCATTATTATGGCCCCACATGATTTCTCTGTTCCTTGCCCTCTGTCATTTCTTTTCTTCTACCTAAGCCACTCTGGCTTACTTTTAGTTCTTTGGTACACCTTTTCCCCTAGCTCAGTGGTTCTCAATGAACATGCCTGCCCTTTTTTTTTTTTTCCACACATACATTGTAACATCTGCTTTATTATCCTCAAAGTGCAATCCAGTGGTAATATACTCTACCTACACATAATTTCAGATATAAATTTAAAATTAATTAAAATTAGCATTATCATAAAAGGAAAATAAAAGGTACATTACTTGGGCACGACTATATTAGAAGATTTAAGTAATCAGATGTTTACATCTACTCATAATGGGCAAATTTACAAGAAGGTAGAAGATCAAAATTGACTTTATACAAAGTATGGGAAAATGAAAAAGCAGGGATAGGAGTGGACCTTAGGGAAAAAACTAGTGATGCATAACTTATTTGCATATGATAGTATTTATAAGAGATATATCGAAATAGACCTCATTGAAATAAAGATACTATACAAGGAAATCTACAAACTGTCGACATGGAGAAAATGAGGAAATAGTCTTTTTTGCAGACGAGCCGTAGGTCATACAAGAATGTCTAGCGAGACATTCAAAATTCATGTAGGGTGCAGAATAATTTCTTATTGTGAGGAACTGTCCAGTATATTTCAAGATTTTTGGCATACCTGGCTCTCCTGTACTAAGTGCCAATAGCACCCTCTCCTCCCCCCAGGTATCGGGCAACATAGCCCCTATCAGATCTGTTCACCCTTTCCAGGGCAGTCACATTTTGTCACATCCCGTTTGTTGGCCTGAGAGACTCCGAGGTGATAGTCTCCTTACACACGTGAATGTCTTTAAAAACCTATTTAACACCCCAGCTGTGTTATAATCGAGACACAAAAGAAAAGAAATTTCTAATTAAAATACAAGGAGTTTCTGTATGTAAATGCTCAGGCATGATTATGCTATCTATACGACATCAGGAAATAGATATCTACTCCTACTTACAGTGAATAGCTTTGAATTTCAGAGTCGTTAGGAGGCTACTTCTGATAAAGAAGTACAGGAAAATGACAGATGAGAGGTGTGGGTGACTCTGGGATGAGAATCAGTGTTAGGGCGAGTCATAACAGACCACATACCTTCTCTGTATGTGGTTAGGGAAAGAGCGCAATTACCTTCATGGTATAAGGATAACAGATTGTCTACGAGGGAAAAATGAACGGTATTCCCTCCGGCAAGCTGTAGGTCCTACATAAATGTCCGGCGGGACATTAAAGAGGCGAATAGGGTACAGAATAAGTCTTCGTTGTGTGGGACTAACCCATCCACTGCAGGACATCCGTTCTCCCTGGCTGCATCCACTCAGTGGCCAGTAATAGTGCCCACCGGTTATGAAGCCAACAAGGCATCCATTTCCAAAATACTACAGTGAGAACCACTGACTTAGTTAATGTCTAGAATCCTCAGATGTGCTTACTTTTACCTCCGTAAGGAGTCTTTCTATGGAGTAGTAGATAAGATTCTTGCTTTCCAAGCCCCCAGTTTTTAAAGAGTGTGTGCCTGCCTTTGTTCATGTTTAGCATCTGCCCAACTTGTGGTTGTCTGCTTTCTGCATTAGAATGTAAGCTCCTTGAGGGCTGAGTCAACCCATTAACCCGTTGTGTTCACTCTACCATACCTATACTTGGCTGTGTGTTTGACATGTGAATCCCTTGGATACATTGTGTTAACTAAAGTAAGCTCAGATGTTTACATTCCAGCCCTTGATTTGTATTTCTTCTTCAAGTGTAATTTGAGACTATCAAAGAGAAACATTAACTTTGCCCTGCTGTCTGGATAGACTGTATTTATTTCTAGGTATCTCCAAAAAGGTAATCAGCCGCAGACACTAATTTATTCAGTGGGGGCTGGAGGATGTGTTTGCCCCTTCTGGATTTTTCATTCCAGGAGTTGATGACCAGAAAGCTGTCGGTAAGAAGCAGGGTGGTGGCGATGGCATAGCCCGTGGTTGGTCAGCCTATCTTGTCTTGGGGCTTGGAGAAGGGCAGGCTGGAAGCTGTGAATATGCTTTTCTGCCTTTGGCCCCAGGAGTGGGAACAGGGCCTGGCTGAAGCACAAAAGTTAAAAATACCCTATCAGTCCTTCCTTCAAAAGCCCTTCTCCGTGCATTCTTTTTGAATCACAGAGCTTCGGATGGAAAGAAAGAGGAAGAACCCTAGATGGCAGCATAACTTTGATTCAAGTGAAGGTAAAACCCATTGGATTTGGATCTCGCATTTCCTACATCTGCTTTTTCCACACACATCAGCCCCTTCTGGGCTTCGATTCCTTTCTTACTTACCCCGAGGCCATTCTGTACCTGACCACTCCTTCAATTAATAACTTTCAATCACCCAGAACTCTTGACTTTATGTCTCATCCGTTTGGCAAAGGATTCATCAAATTCATCAAATTCTCTTTCTATAAGTGAGTACTTTCATTTTTATTTATTTATTTATTTATTTATTTAACATTGAGTACTTTCGGAGAGAATTAGCGGTTTGGATTAATAGCACTGTGCATGCCTGGTACTCAAATTTGGCAAAGCCCCCTGCCTGCCCACTTGTCATCCCCGTCCACATTGCCCCATCCCCACAAGACAGCTGTGTCAAACCTCCACCAGCCTCCTCACCCGTTCTCCCTTAACACCACCACAGATGGCTATTGGATCTTTTCTACTTCGTCTTAAGCCTACAAACTTGTCTTTTTATATACTCACCCTTACTTCTTTTCCTCTTGTCTAAATGGAAGAGGTATTTCTCCTGAGGTTCATTCTTCCAGCGTCCTGTCCTCTCCCAGTTGCCTTATGAAAATCTCCCACTGAATTCTCTCTCTTCTCAGACAGATTTTCAACTTTCCCTTCTTACTGGTTTGTTCACTTGCCATATAACTGTGCTTGCCTCTCCTATAATAAAACACCGCTTTCAATCTTACATCTTCCTTTAATCATCATTTTATCACTACCTTACCTTTTCAGATAACTTATTTTAAAGATTTTATTTATTTCACAGATACAGATCACAAGTAGGCAGAGAGGCAGGCCGAGAGAGAGAGGAGGGAGCCTGATGTGGGGCTCGATCCCAGGACCCTGGAATCATGACCTGAGCCGAAGGCAGAGGCTTTAACCCACTGAGCCACCCAGGTGCCCCCAGTTAACTCATTTTAAAAAGCAGGACTTTTCTATTCTTTTTTGCTCTTAGCCTACAGAAATCTGCCTTTTCTCATTATAACTCCAAAATAAACTTGCCTAATTTATCAACACCCTTGTAGGGCAACTTCCATAACATTTTATAATGCTGACCGTCTTCACCTTGAAAGTTTCTCCTCTGTCCATGAATGACTCTGATTTTCCTCTATCCTCTCTTTCTCGGTTTATGTCTTAGGCTGGCTTCCCTTAGAAGCAAACAGAAAAGGATCGAATGCAAGCAGTTTATTTGGGAGGTGGTCGCAGGAAACACTGGTGGAGAAGTGGGGAGTGAGACAGGGAAAGGAAGGCAACAGAGGGCTTGTTAATGAGAGGGTTATAGCTGTAGGCAACTGGGGCTCAATGCCACTGAAGGACCTCTGGGAGACTATGGAACAACCTTGAAGTTGTTCTACCTGAGAAATAATGCCCTGGGATATTGAGCCTCTATCTGGGAGGAGAAACTCTTTATTCTTTAAGGTTCAGTTTCTGGAGTGCAAATTTAACAAACAGCAGATTAGTAGGAGAAAAAAAAAACCCTCTAAGTTCATCACATGCATCTGGAAATGAAGTGTCTCCCTAAATGGTTAAAGAAAGGGGTTTACATATTTATATTAATAGGGGAGATTAATTTATATTAATAAAAATTACATATTTATATTAATAATGGCCGTCTCTCCCGGCCATTAATATTTATATTAAAAGGCTTCTGTGGGAAAAGCAAATGGGTTTCTGGAGGAACAAACAAGAAATGGAAGTTTGTGATAATGTTTATTTATGCAAGTGCCAGTCGATCTCCATTTTATTTTTTTCTTCATGACCATATAACTGCTCCAGAGAGAAGATCTATGGCAGCCTCACTTCCAGAACTTTCTGCTTTTCACTGAAATAAGGGAAGTTCCAAGAGAGCTTCTTCCTGCGTCTGCTGAATCTCAAATGTCTTTAGTTTAATCTTCATACCAACTCTGGGGGTCTGAGTGGGCCGCCACACCACTAATTCCTGAACATCACTGGTCAAGGACTCTTCTGGAATGTAAATACCTTGGTAATTCCAGTCTCCCTCAATTACTGGCAAGCTTGCTCCTTCAGTGGGGAGAAAGAACTTAGAGCAGAAAATCCAGGTGCAAATGCTGAGTGTCACAAGACTTAGGCACAGCATTAGAGCTACTTCTGGTTTTCTGGTTTTTCTCTTCCTCCCCTTTTTCAAGGTTCTGTTGTCTCACATTCGCTTTACGCACTCTCCATTTTGCTGGGTGTGCCTAGGAACTCTCACAGCTTCAATTACCTAATAATTTGATGTCATTCATCTCTATTCCCTTCATCTTTTGTCAGCTCTACATCTATATACACAACTGCCTACCGGGGATCTTACCTTGACTTGTCCAGTGCAGACCAGACACCATAAAAACAGGTTATGGTCCCTCAAAACCTCTTCTGTTATCTTGTCTTGCTTTTCTAGAAATCCATTCTTCTCATAGCTGTCATCGATCTTTCTAAAACACCTCTGCTAAGTATGGCCAGGCACTGTTTTGTAAATCTGGGGACAGAGCAATCAATGAACAAGACAAACCAGGTTCCTGCTTTTACTGCTTGAATTCTACAAATATAGAAATAAAGAAAAAGAGAAACTGTCAGTGCTAAGTTCCATGGAGAGACTAGGGAACTACTCTCATTGGGAGGTCCAGAAAAGTCTTGCTGAAGAGAAGACATTTATGCTCAGAGATGAAAGACAGAAGGGAGACATCTAGAGCAGGGGGGAACATTCTGGGCAGAGGGATCCTTCTACTGCCATCTGAAATTCCTTCAATGGTTTCCCAACGTCTTCAACATAAGCTCAAATTTCTAAGCCTGGCAGAGAAGATCTTCTAGCACCTGGCCAGTCAGTTGCCTTCCTCTTTTTGGCTTCTTTCCATGACATCAACTCACGTCATCTTCACAACCACCGTGTAAGACAGCTGGTTGAGTCCTCCATCGGGTTTCACGAGACTTCATACTCCGTCGCTGCATTAGCAGGGGCTCGAAAGCTGTCCACAAAATGAGCAAGGTGTTGGGCAGAAAGGATGGCTGCTGAGTAAAAGGGTCTAGACTGGTGCGGTCCAACAGAAATAAAGTGAGCCCCATAGGTAGTTTAACATTTTCTCATACTATTAGATAAGTAAAAGCAACAGATTAAATTGTAAGGACATTTTATTTAAATATCATCAATTGAGCATATTTTTTGTTTAAAGATTGTATTTATTTGACGGAGAGAGAAAGAGCAGGAGCAGGGGGAGGGGTAGAGGGAGAGGGAGAAACTGCGAGTCCCCACCCAGCAGGGAGCCCGATGTGGGACGAGATCCCAGGATCCCCAGATCATGACCCCGGCGGAAGGCAGATGCTGAACCGACTGAGCCCCGCCCAGGCGCCCCAGTGGAGCACGACTAACGAAGTCACTCATGAGAGCGTTTGCATCCTCAATCTTCCAAATCCAGGCTGTGTAGCTCACGCTTACATCGTCTCAGGCCCAACTGGTCAACCTTCCAAAGCCTCGACGCCACCTGCGGCTCTTAGCTGACTGAATCCTTCCCCCTCAACTCCCTCGGGCGCCCCAGCCCGCCCCTTCCACCTCGTCACCTGTTTCATCTCCGCAGAACTTACGGGCACCCCGATTCTCTCCTTTGCTGGCGTGTCACGACTCCCCCACTGTCCACGTCTCTCCCGGCCAGGACCCCCCGCCCTTGACCCGGGGCCGGCACAGAGCAGGCGCTCGGCCAATACAGTCCCCCCACCCCCACGGCCGCGCCCGGGGTGTCCCCAGGCCCCCCTCCGCCGCCCGCCCCCGGGCGCCCCTCCGCCGCCGCCGCCGCCGCCGCGGCGCGCCCTCCCCCTCTCGGCCGGGTCGGGCCGGAGTCGTGGACGTGACTGGGAGGAGTCTGCCCGCCTCAGGTTTCCGCGCTCGGCCGCGGCCATGGCGGAGCCCACCGTGTGCTCCTTCCTCACCAAGGTGCTGTGCGCCAACGGCGGCCGCATGTTCCTGCAGGACCTGCGCGGCAACGTGGAGCTGTCGGAGGCCCGGCTCCGGGACGTGCTGCGCCAGGCCGGGCCCGACCGCTTCCTGCTGCAGGAGGTGGAGATGAGGGAGGGCCTCTGGGACGCCGAGGCCGAGGTGGCGGCCGGCGCGGGCGGCGGCGGCGGCGGCCCCTGCGCCTGGCGGGTGGTGGCCGTGTCCTCCGCGCGCCTCTGCGCCCGCTACCAGCGCGGCGAGTGCCAGGCCTGCGACCAGCTGCACCTCTGCCGCCGCCACATGCTGGGCAAGTGCCCGAACCGCGACTGCTGGTGAGGCGAGCGGCGGGGCCGGCGGCGCGGGGCGGTCACCGCGCGAGGGGCCGCGGGCCTGACGCGCCGGGTGGGAAGCGGGACCCCCGAGAAGTGAGAACAGGGCTGGTTGGGTCGGGGCTGCTCCCCCGCACCCCCCTCCGCCCCCACCGAGGGCGGCAGGGAAGCCTCGCGAAGGGGCCGCGAGGGTCCTCCAGGAGAGGCCTCCCCGGAGCGAGGCCCAGAGCGAGGCCCAGAGCGAGGCCCAGAGCCGTCGCAGCCTGGATTTCTCCACGGCTGCTCGCCCTCGGATTTCAGCCCCTGCCCGCAGGGTCCTCCGCACCTCGGCGGGGAAATCAGGACCGCGCCTTTGGAGTTCATTTACTCCAGGGGTCCCACTGGGGGCTTCCTGCGGACCCATGAGGTCCGTGGGCCCTTTATGGAGGGTGCCCTTTCTTTCCACGCGTAACCTCAAAGTTTTACCGCAGCGAGTCTGTGCGCTCCAGCTTTAGAAAGCCTGATCTAGAACCATCCCCCAAGAAACTCAGGGCTGGGTGGTTTGGGCGAGGTGTTACAAGGCCGCCTCCTGTCTCTCTAGGCTTCCTTGGTTTTACTCAAGCTCCCCAGAGCCGGAGTGTGGGCCCGCTTTCCTCCTAACGGCGGTGGACTGTGGGGGTGGCCAGTTGTTTGGGGGAGAGTAGGCAAGTGCACCCGCCTTCAGAACAACAGATGGCATCCTCTGCCAAGGCCGGAGCCTGGGGGGAGGGGGTACCTTTGGCTTTAAAGCATCCAGACTTAAAATGAAAATGACCTTGGGAGAAGAGATGCTTCAACTCAGCTGTCTTATTATCCATGCCTACTTATTAGGATATAGTATCTGTGGGGTCATGGAAACTTGTTTAACTTCCATGTGAGTTGAAAGCAACCAGAAGGCAAGGAATTTGGGGGACCAGCCCCTTCTTCCTCTGGGGCCCTGAGCCAGAGCTCTGTGTTCTCCTAGGTCTACCTGCACCCTTTCCCATGACATCCACACACCTGTCAACATCCAAGTACTGAAAAACCATGGGCTTTTTGGCCTCAATGAGGCCCAGCTTCGGATCCTGCTTTTACAGAATGACCCGTGCCTTTTACCAGAGGTGAGTTACCAAGAGTTCGCCCTCATGTTGTCTGCCGGATGGAAGAACTCACCAGAGAACATCAGAGGTCTGCTTACAGAGGGCAGCAGGTGTGTAGGTGGAGATAGTGGTGCAGGGCTGACCTCTGTGGGGTCATTTTACCAGTGATTTTACCAGGCTTTGATACGCAGGGAGTAATGGACACATGTGATAAAGAAATGATGGTATGGGCGCCTGGGTGGCTCAGTGGGTTAAAGCCTCTGCCTTCGGCTCGGGTCATGATCCCAGGGTCCTGGGATCCAGCCCCGCATCGGGCTCTCTGCTCACAGCAGGGAGCCCGCTTCCCCCTCTCTCTCTGCCTGCCTCTCTGCCTACTTGTGATCTCTCTCTCTGTCAAATAAATAAATAAAATCTTAAAAAAAAAAAAAAGAAATGATGGTAATAGCTATTGGGGTTTTTTTTATTGTTTACTGAATGCTAAGCTATCCATATACCTCAGCTCATTAATAATGTGTCCCCATTTTACAGGTGAGGAAACTGAGGTTCAGATACATTAAATTGCCCCAGGTCACATAGTACATGGCAGATTTGATTTAGGTCTGTCTGTGAAACCAGTGTTTTGCAAATTGCCTGTGTATGCTTTTGCCTATGTTGAAGCATTTGTCTTTTTCTATTTATAAGATGTCTTTAATGATACCAATCCCTTTTGTGGTCACATTTGTTGTACGTATGTCCCCCCATTTACTTTTTTGGGGCTTTAGATGTTAATTTTAATTGTTTTGCAATGATTTGAAAGCTCCACATGCTTCATAAGTGCCTATTAGAATTGCTATCCTGGTGAAATTAGCATGTTTGTATCTGTTTAGCTATACATGAAGAATTTTCTTTAAAGATTTATTTATTTATTTTAGAGCAGGGGGAGGGGCAGACGGAGAGGGAGAGAGCATCTCAAGCAGACTCTGCACTGAGCCTGAAGCCCAGTATGGAGCTCACTCTCATGACCCTGAGATCAGGGCTTGAGCCAAAACCAAGAATTGGATGCATAACTGACTGAGCCACCAAGGCGCCCCTACACGAAGAATTTTTAAAAACAAAATAGTAGGAATCCCAGAAGAAAATATTACAAGAGCCCACCAGCTGAAAGAATCTTCTGCTCTAGCACAGTGATGCTATCTCAGACACTCAAGTTGCCAGGAGAGCAGTGGGAAGAAGGGAGGCTGTTGGGAAAATCGAGGGTAGTTTGTGACTGTGGTCCCTGTTAATGCTAAGGTATTTCAGGCCCTGGAAGGGAAGGGAGTCACAAGGCTGGAGGAGTGAGCTGGAGCCTTAGGGTCAGAGGGCAGCAGGACAGCAGAATCCATAAAGAGAAGGCAGCACCGGAGTCAGCCTTAAGAGCTAAGAGGTTTGTTCTTGATATCCATGTCTTTTCTCATTTCTTCGGACTTTGAAGCCAGGCTTGGTCAGTCATGGTTATCATAAACCGATACGTTCCAACCATACTGCCAAAAGGACTCCCAAGCAGCAGCCGGAGCAAGTTATTGGCAGGGAGGGAGAGGAGAAAGGCTGCAGCGGGGTCCGGTCCTTCCTCTCAAAGAGAAGGGTCAGTGACAATTCTAGTAGTTACAACCTTTTAGTTTTTAAGATATTGTTTAACTTGCAGAAGTTTAACATCATTACATTGTTTAACTTATTGGACGCTTTTCTTTATGGCTTCTCCCTACTGTCCCGGTTCAGCCTCATCTTGTCATGTCAGACTACTGTCGTGTTCTGTGAGCAGCCAGTGGGTTGGCTGCACTTACAGCAGGAGCCCACCCCTGGTCCTGTCACCCAGGACTGGAGGTGTATGTCATGTGGCACACAGCGTGGCCGCTTAGGTAGCAGGGACCATGGATAAGCACAGTGAATGAGGCAGGAATGGTGCCTCACATCTCCGGTATGAAAATGCCCCATGACCCTTTCCCATCATTCTCCGAAAGACACAGTATGTAATACAGATATACCCTTAGTAAAAAGACGGTAGGGACAAACATTGTGATCTTGTGATTTATAATGAGAAATATAACATATTTGGTCTTCATTCCCATTCCTGGCAAAGAATTCCTCAAACCCTTGAAATTTCCTAAACGATGAGGGCTATAATAGTGTCTTGTTGTTAAGTCAGTGGTGAGTTTTTGGAAAACCCCTAGGTAACCTAAGGATGGAAGCTGGTTATCAGGAGAACCAATCTTGTGATTAGACAGTTGTAACTTTTATCCCTCTGCCCCCCACTCTCCCATCTTCTGGGAGTGTAGAGGGGCTGGGGATTGAGTTCATTCACCAGTGGCCAGTGTGATTTAACCTATCATGCCTATGTTATCAAGCTTCCGTAAAAACCCAAAAGGACAGACTTTCAGAGAGCTTCTAGGTTGGTGAGCACATGGGGGTGCTGGGAGAGTGGGATCCCAGGAGAGGTCATGGCAGCTCCACACCTTTCTCCCCCATGCCTTCCTCTGTGCATCTCTCCCATCTGCGTGTTCCTGAGTTATATCCTTTTATAATAAACTGGTCATCTAGTAAGTAAACCATTTCTCTGAGTTCTGTGAACTGTTCTAGCACATTAATCTAACAGAGGAGGAGGTGGTGAGAACCTTTATAGCAGATCAGCCAGTGGCAGATGGCAGCCTCGACCCACGATGGGCGTCTGAAATGGGGGCAGCCTGGTGGGCCTGAGCTCTTAGCCTGTGGGATCTGACTTTATCTCCAGGTAGACAATATTAAGATTGAATTAAAATTTATGGGACACCTGGTCATTGTCCACTGAGAATTACTTGGTGGTGTTGAAAGAAACACACATTAGAAATATGTACAATGTGATGCAGATACATTTGAAAACTTCAATGAAATGGACACATTTCTAGAAAAAATATAGCCCAGCAAGACTGATTGAAGGTAGGCCTGGGTGGCTCATCGGTTAAGCGTCTGCCTTTGGCTCAGGTCATGATCTGGGGATTGAGCCTTGCATCAGGCTCCTTGCTCAGTGGGAAGCCTGCTTCTCCCTCTCCCTCTGCCTGCTGCTCCCCCTCTCCTGCTTGTCTCTTTCTTTGTCAAATACAAATCTTTTTTAAATCTTTAAAAAAACCCAAACTGATTCAAGAAAAAGTAGAAAGCCAGAACGGTCTTTATTTTTGAACAACAGAAGCATTGAGATGAAAATTTCAAAACACCCTGAAACTAGAGTATTAGTTACAAAGTCTTATACAAGAAAACATTAGGCTCATAAAGTTTTATTGTTGAACTCTATCAAATCTTTAAGGAAAGGATTATTTTGATTTGGGGACTAGGTCTAGGGTTCTCCTCTTCTTGATCTCCTATGCATTCTGAAATCAGTATCATACTGTTTAAGTAGTTTGTATTTTAATATATGATGGTACAAGACTCTGTGCCCATTACACTTCTTTTTCAGAATTATTTCTTGGGGTGCCTGGTTGGCTCAGTGGGTGGAGCATGCAACTCAGTCTCAGGGTTGTGAGTTTGAGTCCCACGCTGGGTATAAAGATTACTTAAAAATTAAAAAAAATTTTTTTTTTCTTCAATCAATTGCCTTAAGAAATGTAGTGAAAACAAATGTGTTAAGTGTTGCTCCATTTCTGGACCAGGTCTGTTTACTGTACAACAAAGGTGAAGCACTTTATGGCTACTGCAACCTCAAGGATAAATGCAACAAGTTTCACGTGTGCAAGTCCTTTGTCAGAGGGGAGTGCAGACTTCAGAAATGCAAACGGTCCCATCAGCTCATTCATGCCACAGCCCTGCAGCTGCTGCAGGACCAAGGACTGAATATTCCAAGCGTCGTGAATTTTCAGATCATCTCTACCTACAAGCACATGAAGCTGCACAAGATGCTTGAAAGTCAAGGTGAGACCATCAGAGGGAGACAGAGCACTAGCCCATGTCGTTTTGACCTGGGAGTCAGTCTAGGGGGTGGCAGCTCATGCTCTGTCCTTGGGGAAGCAGAACCACCAACATTTTAGGATAGAAAACTTGGTTCTAACCAAAGGAGGGAAGGGATAGAGTTTATTTTCAGCGCTGACAGCCAATAGCACCTGCCCAAGGGTCTGAACAGTGTTGCTCCTTGCTAAGCTGGGGGCCAGGAAGTAGATACAATCGTCCTCATGGCTTTGTTAGGAAGAAAGAGGAGGGAGGTGGGCCAGTGGACAAGAAAGGGAAGGAAGACATAGGAATAGCTTTCTTTTATTAAATTTGAATTAAAGCGTTTTCTTCTTTCTTTGTTTTTCTTGAGATAATTAACATATAACATTATGCAAGTTTCAGATGTACAGCGTGGTTCGATATTTGTATACATGGCAAAGTGATCGCAGTAAGTTGAGCTAACATCTGTCACCGTCCATAGTTACACAGTTTTTCTTGTAATGAGAACTTTTAAGAAAGTATTTTCTTTGGGGGCACCTGGGTGGTGCAGTTGGCTGAGCGTCTGGTTTTGGCTAGGTGGTGATCTCAGGGTCATGGGGTCCAGCTCCATGTTCAGGCTCTGTATGCAGTGCAGAGTCCGCTTGGGATTCTCTCTCCCTCTGTCCCTGCTGCTCATGCTCACTCTCTTGCTGAAATAAATAAATAAATCTTAAAAAAAAAGTATTTTCTTTTTCAGTTGTTAAGAAATTTTAACCATATGACAGAAAAATTTGGAAAATAGAGAGTAGAGATATAAATTGCCTATGATTCCACTCTCTCTGTCCATAATCATTAGTACCATTTAACGTCAGGCCCTTCTCTCCTGTTACTCTACAAATACTGGTCCATTTGTGGTCGCAGTATGCATTAATATCTAAATTTTCACTTCACACAACATCATAAACATCTTCCCATATTGCTACATAGTCTCTCATTTTTTAAGGTCTGCCGACTGTGGTCTGGTGTACTTTTAATTACAATGCATTCAGGTTGCTTAACTTACTAGATTTGCTTATAGCTCAAAATCCGTTTCAGTGGGATGTAGGCTTAGGGGAATTGTTGATGGGAAAACCACATCAGGAAAGCCAATATCGCTAAGCTTTTGATATCTTTTATTTTACTTTTTCTTTTTTTTTTTTTTAAGATTTTATTTATTTGTTTGACAGATTGAGAGAGAGAGGGAGCACAAGCAGGGGGAGCTGCAGGCAGAGAAAGAAGGAGAAGCAGACTCCCCGCTGAGCAGGGAGCCTGATGCAGGGCTCCATCCTAGGACCCTGGGATCATGACCTGAGCCGAAGGCAGATGCTTAACCGACTGAGCCACCCAGGCGCCCCTCAATATGGAGTTTTCTTATGTTGGAATGGTAGTGGCTGACTTCCTGCACAGGTGGTCTGGAGGGAGTATAGGAGGCTGTCTAGGGGACCCCAAATAGTGGCAGGAATTGTCTATATTGGCACAGGGCCTATCATTACCTTCCTCTGGTCTTCTTTAGTGGGTCTCTCATAACTGAAGTCTCTTTTAGCTTAAGTCACTGAAATAGTGACTTTCTGCTCTCTCTGTGTGTGTGTGTGTGTGTGTGTAAAATAAATCCAGAAGACACAAAACTCTCTAAATTCACAGTATTGGGACTTTTGTCTGAGATCTGATTAGCAGGGCTGATGCTCCCGACATAAAATGAAATTGAGAGCCGTAAAAGGGGTGTTTCAGGAAAGCTCATCTCTCTCCTCTTCTTTTCAGGTAATGCCGCTTCTCCTGCTGAGTATTCCCAGGGCCTCGAGAAGCCAGGCGGACATATGGCTGGCGCTGCAGAGGCTGGTCCTGTGGCTCCCATCCCTGCTCCGTCAGCCAAGAAGCCACACGCAGGGAAACCGGAAAGGATGTCCGTGAAATAAGACGCTTGTCCAGTCAGAAGTTCTGAAAACAAAGCTTCTGTTGAGCTTTATTTCTAAGTTCCTTCATGTAATCACTTATCAATAACGGTCATAGTAATACCTACCTCACATGTTGCTGTAAAGATTAAAGATGACGGAGAAGGGGAGAGCATCAGGTTGCGTGGATGACATTGGGGATGGGTGGTTGGGATGTGGTGGGACGTGGAGCAGGCAGAGAGGGGAGAACGTGAGTATGGTTGGGGTCAGTCCAGGGCTAACTCTGAAGATGGCAGATTCTGCCTGTAGTCCCTGACAGGTCCCTTAGGCTGGCGGGAGCTCCAAGAGGAGCAGGCTTTGGCTGCCTTGCTCCATGACCCAGCCAATGTTTTTCTGCACCCACATACACGGTTTACATAGTGGTTGTCAGAGACCATATACGGACGCTTAGTCCTCTTGTTCTTTCTTAACGTTTCATAAGCCTCTTTCCCTATTCACATTTTATCGTATATAATCATTTTTATGCACAGATACACTAACGTACAGTTGTTTACTTAATGGCTTCCCTTATTCTGGATGTTTCCGTTCTTTCTAACAAATTTTGAATGGAACTCTTTTCCTCAAATCCTCACAATATTGAATTTTTAAATGTATTCTTTTGCTTAGCTTGTTGGTGCTAAATGATACTGCCTTTTGATTTGCATTTCTTTAAGTATATGCAAGGGAATATTTTTCCAGTGTGTGTGCTTTCTGTGTGTGTGTGTGTGTGTGTGTGTGTGTGTGGATTTTGTGCCTGCCCTCCTGGGGCTGATGTGGGATGGCGTTTAATTAGGTTCCTTAATTTTCATGAAACGATATCAGTCGTACTGTGCTCACATGATACCCAGCTCTCCTGGGTCCATCCCTCAGCCGTACCACAAAGTGTGTAACTGTCGAGTGCTCACCAAAGATTTCTACCTCACTGTGTCTACTCTGCATTTCTTATTAACATTTTCGCCAACACCCCCATTATGATAGGGTCGTTCATCCATTTCTCAAAGTTGTATCCATTCTTTCTGCGTATCTGGAGGGATTATCAGAAACCTATAGACCTTGTCTATTTCATGTTGACTTTCCTTCCTTCTCTCTGTCCCCACCACCTGACTCTCTTCATCCAGCTACACTTAGATGTTTGGTTCTTTGTATTCATCCAAGGGTACCGCAGAGAAGCTGCGTTATGACATCTTTTTCTGTGTTTGCTTTTGTGATATTCTCAAATGTTGATGTGTAAAGTATTTTTTTTTTTAAATTTTGACTTTCCTGCAATAACACAATATCTGAGAAATAGGGACGAGGGAGTGAGTTTTGCATAAAGCTGAATTAATTTAGCGTAGAACCATGTTTTATCACGAAATGCTGCCTACTCTGCTGGGGGGAGGTCGGCCAAAATATCCTTTGCAAAGTGAGAAATTGCTGTGTTTTCTCCTACGGACAGTAAGATCATGCTGCTTCTGTGAAACTTTTCACCTTTGCTATCCACAACAGTATTTCTGAAAGCCCTTAGGTTCTGCATACTTTGTTTCCTTTTTCCTAGTTCTGATTTCTCCTGGTGCTAATTTTGTTTTTTGTTTTTTTTTTTAATTATTTTTATGGGGCATCTGGGTGGCTCAGTGGGTTAAAGCTTCTGCCTTCGGCTCAGGTCATGATCCCAGGGTCCTGGGATCGAGCCCCGCATCGGGCTGTCTGCTCAGCAGGGAGCCTGCTTCCTCCTCTCTCTCTACCTGCCTCTCTGCCTACTTGTGGCCTGACAAATAAATAAATAAAATCTTAAAAAAAATTATTTTTATATTTTATTGTTATTCACATTTTATTCTTTTACCATGTGTATTTTTGCTGTAAGCCTTGTTTAGTTCTTAATGGGAACAGATAGGGTACACATGTGTATCCCGGACGTTAGGAGACTTGGTGGACTTTTACAGGCTTGTGTTCTTGTCGTGTATCTTATTACTATGCTTTTATATGCATGAAAACGACCCTCTGTAATCTTTGTTGCAATGTTTTCTTCAGTTCTCTAATAGTCCATTTAAAACTTAGTTCTTTTAGTATCCATTCTGTAAAGATATTTCATATAACCCTACTTGACCCTCTTTCATCTCATGATTCAGCTGTTAGAATGGTTTCACATTGGAATTGGGAGGTGGTTTTCTTTGGTCATTTATCAAGGCTTTGGAGGTGAAGCTGCACATCTGTGGGCTCCGCAGATCCAACATACCCTAAGGGAAATGATGACCTTTCCTAAAGTCTTGTTCGTCCTTTGGTTGCCTTATTTTGGAGTTGTCACCACCTACGGACTTATGCCAAAACCCTGCCAATTGCCCTGTCCTCTTCTTTCTCCTGGTTCCTGGGGTCAAACCCATTACCCAGTGTTGGAGATTAGTTTCCCTTCAACAAATCTCAAACTTGTATCCTCCTCTGCCTCTTTCTCTCCCTCCCGGACACACCTCCTTCTTTCTAACCCTCTTCGCCTCTTGCATCTGTTGCACAGATGGACGATTCACTGGTTTTCCAGTTGTGTCTCGTGAGAGTATTTTTATAGGAGGTGCTAGGTGGCCCCCTGCTCTCCTTCTATGATGGCAGTCCCGTTTTAAATTTTTTGTAAAATGGGCTTTTTATGGATTTCATTGATCTCTTGCCACCCTTCTACCTCCCTGCCTTCCATCCTGTGCCTGGTGGATCTTTCGAAATGCAGACCTAATCACATTGCTTTGTTCTGCCATAACCTTCATGGGTCCCCATAAGGCAAGTAGGAGTCATAAACTCAGACGCCTCCTTAGATGAGAAGGGGGAGCTGAAGAGGACGATGTGAGCCGGATGTAGAAGAAATGGGGGAAAAGAGCAAGTGTCATAACAATTTGTCCCATCTGAGTGGGGCCCCTGCCTCTTGTGCCCTTGTGGGGATGTGGGCCCATTTTTGTCATGTTTCCCAATTAGTCGAAAGAAGCCAGATCCAGATTTTATTATACATTTTCAGATTTTTAAATACTGGCTTTTGACTGACTTTTAAAAATGCGGACCAATATTGTGTGTGCTGACCTATTTGCAGTTTTTGGAATGTGCCATTTTATTGTATGACTCTCTGTGCTTGTAAATGATGTTCCCATTAAGTGCCACTCCTTCCCTCTTCCTGCCTCAAACCCTGGCAAAATCCGATTTTTGAAAATGCTAGGTTAGTCTTTTCTGACCCCAGGAAGGGTGGTTCTCTTAGTGTTCTCAGCATTCTAGCACAACACTTACTCTGCCGTGCTTTCTGCTTCTATTCCCTAGCTTTGACCAAAAACAAAACCATTATTTCTTCTTTTTGGACAAGTCTCCAAAAAGAATTTTTTTGGCATATAACGAATCAAACTTTGTGAATCCATGGAATCAGTATCATATTGGTCTTCATGGTTCTTTCTTCTCCCCACATTGATATTTTCCATTTTCAAAAAGTCTTTTTCCCTAAGGAATGTGTTATTTAAAGTAAACATCTTTTTGGTACTTCAGTTTGAATCATCTAGGTCTAAAATTAACTGTTTAAGACTTATGCCCATGATACTAATCTTTCCATCAAGGAATTAAGTCTCTTCATTGCTGATGGGTTCCTTGATTTCTTTCATTATAATTTGTTCTTATTTTTGTCTAGCCTTCTATATCCCTCATTATATTGATTTTTTTTCTTGGCTACATACATCTGTATTGCTACTCCGTATGGGAATCTCTGTCTTTAGAATTCTATTGGTTTTTAAAATATTTGTTTTTTGTTGAATTATCTTTCTCCTAACAGTGTTAGATAGCCTTTATGTTTCTTCTAAATATAAAATCATAGCTGCAAAAAGATTTGGCTTTTCTTATGTATTTCTATTTTGTCTTGTGTTAAATAAAATTGTGACGAAAAGATATTTTTTGATACTTCTTCATTAAATATGAAGTTAATTGTTCATTTTAAACAAATGTTCTCTACTTAATAAGGGAAATTTCATTTATTGTTTGTTAGAAGCTTTTAGTAACGATGGTATCTTTTGCATAATCATGTAATTTTTATCACTTAAATCACCTAATGTGATTATATTACTGATTTTACTATATTAAAACATTTTAAATTCTGAGTAACTCTACTTGACTATGGCATATACTCTTTCAATGTATTGCTTTTCCCTTTGGTAATTTTTATTACAATTATATGCATCATACATTCATAAATAAAATTCATTTATATTTCATATGTGTATGTAGTAATTTCCTTTTTATTTGTATTGCTATATGCTCAAAGTATACATTTTATTCTAAATCCTGTTCTGAGTTTTACAAATTGATTGTAGTGTCATTATTATTTTACATCTTTTTCCCCAGCTTTATGGAGGTATTATTTGACATATAATATTGTATAAGTTTAAGGTCAATAAGGTGATGATTTGATACATGTATATCATGTGAAATGGTTCCCACAGTAAGTTTAGTTAACACGTCCATCACCTTATATTCATTTTTATTTTTAAAGTAATGTATTGGGCACCTGGGTGGCTCAGTGGGTTAAAGCCTCTGCCTTCTGCTCAGGTTATGATCTCAGGGTCCTGGGATCGAACCCCACATAGGGCTGTCTGCTCAGCAGGGAGCCTGCTTCCCCGTCTCTCTCTGCCTGCCTCTCTGCCTACTTGTGATCTTTCTCTCTGTCAAATAAATAAATAAAATCTTTAAAAAAAAAATAAAGTAATGTATTACTTGGAGCACCTGGGTGGCTCAGTCAGTTAAGCCTCTGCCTTCAGCACAGGTCATGATCCCAGGGTCCTGGGATCGAGCCCCACATTGGGGGGGTGGTCCTTGCTCAGCAGGGAGCCTGCTTCTCTCTTTCCCTCTGCCCCTTCCCCTGCTTGTGCACTCTTTCTCTCTCAAACAAATAAAATATTTTAAAAAAATTATTAGTATATCCTTGAATTTCTCTATTCTTATTTAGGAATATTTTTTCCAAAAGATTTTTTTTTGGGGGGAAAATAAAATAACGTATCATTGTGGAAATTTGGGAGAATACAGGAATGTATTCAGAAAGTAGTAATAATTCCCTATAATACCATTGTGTAGTATTGTTCTGAGTTCTTTAGACACACTACCTTGTTTAGTCATCAGAACAGAGGTGAGATAAATCAGTACTGCCTTGACCTACGCAAGAGGGAACCCTGACTTGGGCCTTTGCTTTAAAAGGTTTTCTCTGCTCGTGATTTACACCACTCAGACCTCAGGGAAATGCTTCTCTACCTCTCTTATCCTATATCCTCAGGGCGTAAAACGTGATTGCTTCTGAACCCTGTGCAGGTCTGTGGTTTGAAACACTGTCATCGCTGGAAACAGCTACAGTTTTGGGCTTCATGGAGGGCTTCTGTGGTGGAAACAAGTGGGTAAGCAAAAACAAATTAACTTGTCAAGGCCTATCTTTTGGAGAGTGTGGACACAATAGATTCTTACAAAATGAAATATCTTTCCCAGTGGTTTCCAGCGTGCATTTTCCCTCCTCTTTGTCTCCTAATCAGTAGCTCTGGGGGTACCCACACATTGTATAGTATTTGCTGCAAGTACACACAGGAGTGGGGGAATATTTTTGTACCATTAAACAATTGATATTATTCTTCAGTATTTATGCAGAAGCAGTTTTCCATGTACTATGTGAGAGACAGGATTCAATTCCTTCCATTAGCAAGAACGTGCACGTCGAATGTGGTATTGGACATATGGTTTTATGTCCTTTACAAAAATAGTCTTGATTTAGTTACATTTTCAAAAAAATCAATTGAGGAGTTAGACTTCAGCTGAGGATGTAGAAAATAGCAAGAAAAACCAGATAACCTATAAAACTGTAACTTTTCTCGAGCCCAAAAGAGACTGGTCGTAAGTCCAGTTCACTGAAATCCAAGGAGTGACAAGGTTCTGTACAGAAAGGTGTGACACAGACATGCTTTGACAAAGCCTGGGGGAGAGATGGTCCCTTTATAAATGGATAAGATGATGTCGGTTGTATTTTTAATGAATTCTCAAAAGCCAGATATTGGTTAACATGTCAATTTGTAAAAGTTAATAGCAGAAGAAAACACCAAGGAAGTTATGCAAGAATAACTAAAACAAACAGACTGCGATGATTACTGGGTAATCTGCTCCCAACACAGAATTTCATAGATGAGATGATCTCTGTGGTGTAGCAGTGCTTACGAACGCAGCAAAAGATGATGTGAAGTTACAACATCCAGCTGGACCCGGGGCCTGAGAGTTGCACTGCTGGAGGATTGGTCTCTTGGACGACAGGTTGGCAGTATCGTGAAAGGTCTTAAAAATATACATGTTTTTTGATCAAATAATTCCAGTTTGAGAAATTTATCATATAATAATAAAAGATGTATAGAGGGTTTACTTACAAAATTGTGTATATTGGCTAGGTCCTGGCAAGAAACAGATGTTAAGAAACACTTAAACAGGATAAATGGAGGGAATTTAATGAAGGACTATCTCTGAAGAGATGGGCAGGGTTAATGGAAGCCGACGAAGGTTGGGGGTGTAACCCTGGCTAGCAGTAATGGGGACACCATTCCATGATAAGCATGAA